ACATCCTCAGTGGTATGATGGGCTCCACCGGATCCAGCGTCAACAGGGCCGACGTGCCAGGGTGCTTGTACAACACCGTGCTTCCGCAGGCCAACTCCACTTCCACTGCCGTTAGATCGCCTCTTTCGTGCGACCTTGCTTGCCTCAAGGCATGCGTTGCCCCTCCGTCCAGGAGGGCAACTGGCTCCAACTCCTCAGCTCCAGCCTGTCTCTTGGCTGCCTCATACTTGATCTGGAGGGCCTTCATCGATCTCAATGATTTCAGCAAGCCCGCCACTTCAGACATCAACCCAGCTGCCTCCGCAGCATCTTGCGGCGGCTTAGGTGTTCCTCCACCCATGGCCACCGAATTCGGCGGTGCGGTGTTGGGAATCCGACCGGTGACCTCCCGGGACGCCTCCTCCGCGGAGCCCGGTGAGCCAGCCTGTCGGGCCCCTTCACCGCCTGCGCCAGAGCCTTCTCCCGAAGACCTTGCATCCTTCTGCTTCTCAAACTTGGACACCTTGGGAGGGGCCGCTGCTGTTGTCTTGCTCGTGCCCCAGTCCCATTTCTTGACCGGGCAATCCCGCTTCGAGTGGCCCACCCCAGAACATCCGAAGCACCGGTTGTTCTTCTCCAAGCCGTCCCACGAATGTGCGTAGCTGCAACTGCCACCCTTCTTGCATCCTCCATCTGTGCCCCAAAACCTGCATGGTGCCCCGAATGACCTTTTCTTCTGGTCTCCCGTCTCTGCAACCGGATCCTTGGCTCCAGAAGTCGCCAGGGCCTTGAGTCCCGCCGCTGGCTGAGTTGGATTGGCCGCGTTGGTCGTGGATGAGGTTTTCAGGGCTGTTGCAAGTGAGAGTTCTTCCGCCTCCGCCTGCAAGTACTCCGAGAACTGCTTGATCTTCGCGAGGTGAGGGCGAACATCAACTTGAAGTTCTTGGCGAACCGAGGAGATCCGAAAGCTGGCTTGAGCCCCAGCCTTCCCGACTGCTTCCGCAATCTTATTCAGGACCGTCAGCAACACCAAGCCATCTGGTAGTGCCACCTCCAACTCCTCTGCCCTCGCCAACCATCTCCTCCACAGCCTCAACGTCTGCAGAGCCTCCGTCAACGTGTTCCCCACCTTCGGATCTGCCAGGTTCTTGAGCAGGTTGCCTCTCTCCGACGTCCCACCTGGCTGATATATCTGGTGAAGGCGAAACATGATCTCCGTGGCCGACATTTGCCTTGCCGAGATGATTTCTCTGCGAATTGGGTCAGGCAGTGCAGCAAGTAGCATGGAAAGCCCCCGTTGCTCCACCCGGTGATTGTGGACATGTTTCTCCCCCAACGAAGGCTTCAGCCTCAGCTTCTCCAAGGGGGTTGCAATCAGCCACTCCGTGTAGGTGGATTCTGCTCGTTGAAGAACATCCTTCCACCACTCTTGAGCTGAACCTGCAATGTCCGCCATCAACGGCCCGATCACCGTTACCCAATCTCCAAAGGTCAACGCTGCCAGATCTCCTCCAGGAGGAGGCAGACTAGGCAACTCCAAATTCCTCAGAGCCTCCGACAAGTGAGATGGAGCACTCGGCTTATTGTCGTCCAATCCCCTCGGAGGTGGTGGTGGTGGTGGAGGTGGCTGAGGTCGATTTCCTTCATCATGAAGCGGTGGAGGACCAAGACCTCCAACGACTCCTCCTTCTGATGCCGTCCTGTAGGAAACATCGTCCCTCGTTCTTGCCGCCTGCAATCTCGCCACTTCTCTTTCGAAGATCTCCTCCGCGTCCCTCATCACCCGTAGTCGAAGAGCTTCAAGATCTTCTTCTTGACCTTGTTGTCGTCCTCGGTCATCGGTGGTCGCCCTGCCAGCAGACACAGGTTGTGCTTGGGCTGCCCTTCGTTGAACCTCAGGGCTCCAAAACGGGTTCACCCCTCCACCTGCTGGTGCATCTCCAGGACCATAGGGACCTCTCCGATTTCCACTCAAAGTCTCCCGACCATCATAGGGCTCCAACTGCCTCGGCCTGACTTCCCATTCCTGGCCTTGACCTTGATGAGCCGTTAGTTCTCGACTAGCTGAAGGACGCCCGTCAGGTGGTCCACGCAGTTGACCATGCCCTTCAGGTTCTCCCGAATCATGACCATGCCTTACTCCCGGATGTCCTTGGTCTTCTCCACCAGCCAGGAATTGCCCTTGGGGTACTACAGCATCGTGCCCGCCGTGCGCCCCAGAACGTCCTCGGATTTCCTGAGGTAGCCCGCTTGGCCCAGGTCCTTCGCCAGACCCACGCCCTCGAGACCCACCAGGATGGGATTGACCCCCACCCCGATCTTGAATTGGTTCACCTGGCCGTTCCAGAATCCGCTCCTGTTGGCCGGGTTGTTCTCCTTGTCCAGGGGGACCCCGTAGAGCTCCTTGCCCGCGACGTCCATCTTCTGCCATTTCCGGCACCAGCCCGGGAGGGGGAAGAACATCCCTTCCGCCCCAAGGCTCACTCCGTTCCGGACCGGTGACCCGGCGAATCCCCCGCCGGTCTTCCAGATCCTCCGACCTCGCCCTCCGCGATGCCCGCTCCTCCTCCTGCACCCGCTCCATGATGAGGCGGTCCAAGGCCTCATCTGCGGTCTCCCCATCTCGTACCACTTCTCGCCGGCGCCTGCGAATCATGGCTTTACCTCAGAGAGTTTGGGCTCATAACCTATGGTTATGTCTATGCAAAAAGATCGCGCTTTTTCCAGCGCTTGAGCCAATGGCCGTCGCCATTGAATGGTTCCGTGTGCATCATGTTGCTGTTGAACATGCACAGGCCCAAATGGTGACAAACATAGCATACATTCACCCAATCACGCCCAATCACGCCCAATCACGGCATCCGACAAGGTCATAGATTCCGATAAGCCCAATGTTGTCAAAATACCTGGACCCACCGTGGGCACTTTTTTTGGGACAGTCCGCCTAAATCCGTCCGTTTCTCGGAAAAGCGTACGTGGCAGCAAAAAACGGTCCGTTTCTTAGGTCGTCCTTCCTTGGCAATCCCACATAGGGATGCTTTGGCCGAAACATTGAGATCTGGCTCATTTTTAACTGCCTCCATATAGAAACTTACGCTTGCACAAGGGCCCTTACGTGTCAAAACCGTTTGCGGGAAGCCTTGCGGCTTTGCCAACAGCATCCTCATTTGCTTCGCAGCTATATATGACAAGTGCGCAAGAACAATCCATCAAGGAGCTGCTGAGGTCTTGTTAGCCTGCACGAAACGAAGGCAACAAAGCTCTTATTTACAAACGGCCCGCCGCAGACACCGGTAGTCTCTTGCAGGCCACGCTCGATGCTCGTATTTCACAAGCCCATAAGAATTCAACACATGCTTTCCCAAAACTCTTGACGGATGCACGTAGCTTTGCGTATTTGAGTTCACAGCTTTTAAGGGAAGCAGGAAACAGTTGCAGAAACTTTCAGCTAAGGAGCTTCGCCCATGGCTTGAGTTCTCAAAGATTCCGCACGCGACAAGGCAGACAAGAAATCTCGACAATGAACACAGTGCGTGAATCATAGCTTTGCACAATCTGGGTTCCCACGACCACAAGACCCGTAGACACCAGGTATTAATTATTGGAATCCGTTGTTTTCCGTCCGTTTCCCGTCTTTTTCCGTCCGTTTCCCGCGTTTTCCGTCTGTTTTGTGTCTTCCAAAGTCAGACAAACTTTGCAACATGTTGCATGAACACATCAAAGGGGCAAAATGATTAGGTTCGCCTTGCTCAGAGCTCAACAGGTAGGCAATCTCAAAACGTTGGCGGATATTGAGCTCCTTGCAGCAGTTGGCAAATCGACTTACACCAGTTTATGCGCATCTGAGTGAATGTTCTGGTAGCCCTTCTGGTTGAACATGTTCAGACATCGTTCGCTCGTGGCTACTGGGGCGGGCCACAAGGGTTTTTTGTCGTAGAAGCAACGCACACCCCAAGTCTTGCGTTTGACAAGTTCTTTCCAGGGGCAATTGGGAAGTCGTCAAATCTTGCATGGGGGAGAGATGTTGGCATGCAATACTCTGTTGTGACAACATGTGACAACGTGTGAGGCCCTGCTTACTTGATTTGTGCTATAGAACCTTTGGACTGCAGCGGGCACAAAGCATTGATGCAGAATGGTACCAGGGGGTGCACCTGAAAGGGTTTTGTTGGAAAACAAGTGGGGCAGGCAGGGTTGGTCAAAAGCTTTGCAACGGAAGCATGCAAAGACATAGCCTCCGCAAACTAGCTGTAAAGAAAGAACAACAACTGCCTCAATTCCTGCAAAACTGTTTTCCGTCCGTGGGTCCTCAAAAGAGTCAGCTGACGGAAATTTGTGGCACAGACGGACATTTCCATGCTTTAGGAAGGTCCAGGTATGCCTACATACCAAATGTTGCTCTGAGAGGCCTACATTTGAACGTTAGTAAGTATGACCAACATGGAGTGTGTGTGGGAATTATGTGGGTTTCTCCCAAAATGAGCGGCCCCCCCTCCAAAAGACAAATCCTAGATGTCCGTTTCAACCTCCGTGCTCGGGCTAGGGTCTGTTTGTTTACGAGCCGGTACCCCGACAAAGGGAGACCAAAAGGAGCACCAACCCGAATCTTCTGATGAGCATTATTTTCCGCTCGTGCAGATTACTTCGCGTTTATCTGACAACCGCTCAGTTCAAGAAAAAATACTCGTTGGAAGATACAGGAATATTTTTTGGGCCGCCCGCATGAACGTCATTGTGATCCCGCGAAGTGACCATCGCCAGGCCTCCATTTTTTGATTGCTCCGCGACGGTTGATCACCCAACGGTCCAGCTGCGGGTTTCACCAAGTGTCGCACTCTTGTGGCACGTGAGAAATTTGAGCAAGGGGGTTGGACACTCACTCCCTGAGTTCGTGGACTGTACACTTTTTGGAAAGACCGTTCTTGCCGTAATGTAGAAGTTCAGGCTTGTTTTGGCCAGTCCACTCAGGAAGGCGGAGCATGACCTGCACCTTGGTAGGAGCTGTCGCACGCGCGCGCGAGGAAGAGGAGACGCAGTACGACGAGAGCAGCCGGATCGGAGCAGAGAGTCGCTGCGATGTCTGGGAAGGCGCTGACGGCAATGGCGGCGGGCAATGGCGGCTGACCATGATTGTTGGGAAGCATTTTTCATGTTGGCTTATTGTGGTTTAGTGGTTGAAGTCGCACTGAACTGCTAAAATTTAGAACTTTTTGCTCCCCTTCCAACGTCAACCAAGTGACGGGCGGCTGACGGGCGGCTGACGGGGAATGGCGCCAGTCGAGTTCTGTGTCGAGAAGGGGGACACAGGGAAGCGTCCCATTTTGGAGGATTGTTTGTTAGATTGGGTAGAAAACTCAGACACGCAACTGAGAGTGACACCATTGCGGCTCCTCGTCACATACATCCGGGCAGATGCGCCCTTCCTGTGCGCCCTTCCTGAGCGAACACCTGTGGTCTGATGCTTGGACTGCGTTACCTCGGTTGCTGCTGGCAGCTTTCCCAACCTGTCTGAATGGATTCCTGCATCGACCAATTCCAGCAGGAGTTACCTCCACAGGCAGCTAGAGGAAAGCATCATCGCACTTGCGACATTCTATTGGTAGAGGATTTAGCAGTCTTCTTGTGTTGCATGCGCTGCGTGAGTTTGCCGATATACCCAAGGTAACATGCCCTTTCGCTAGCTACCGCAGTATCAGATGATATGCATGCCCACTCAACAGGCGCTGGTTTGCAGTTTGTACCGTCTAAGTTGGTTGCCTATTGAATCATTGTTCAAGCTTCAGGCTACCTTGTGCTCCCTGTTTGTTGGGTCAGAATGCAGAACAAGTTGGACAACTATGCACATCATCCATCAAATCACTTCGACCTACTGCACCAAGTGCATTTGGGTGGGTGTTTTTGTGTACCCATTTGGGGCGGTACAGGGAAAGAACAGGGACACTGGTCCCCCGTGTTAAGACCGCGTTTGAGCAGCCACCAACACACACCGACTTTTGGTTCTGCCGCCATGGTTGGTAAGGTTTATATTAGGAACAACTACAATCACTATTTAACCGGGTAGTAGAACCACCTACGAAAATGGCCGATGGGTGTTTTGGGCGCTGCTGATTTGTGTTCCTGGTTTTTGGCGCATGTGGCCAGGCTTCGAGTGGCAAAACCGGCCCGAGTCGACCGAGAAGACAGGAGCGATTCGGGGTTTGGTGACTTGGAACTCTGCAGATTAAGATGTGCCCCATTGTGCCCCTACTCCGAATATATGTTTTTGCTTATAGGGTAACCGACCCTCTGCTCAAACAGGATATGTTTTCCATGCGGGAAGCCGTGTTCTTGTAGGTCTGTCGATTTTAGAGCTGGTGCTCCTTTTTTCCCGTTTTTTTTTGGGAAGCCACGTTTTTTGTGTTTTTTTCTGTTTTTTTTTGTTTTATGTCTTGTTTGGTGTTTGTTAGAGAAGCAAAATAACAACTACCATTTTGGGGGGAAGTTCTGCGGTTCCAGGGGAGAGTCTCGCAACAAATCTTTGAACTGGTCAAGCGCCCACAGAAAGCTCACATGCGTCGGGTCTCAGCTCATGGACCCACTTCTTGTGTTCTTCCTTCGGAGACCACAACTTGCTGGTGCTCGGGGAATGAATACGCAATGGAGCAAAAAAACACATATATACGTAATTATAAACCGCTCGGGCGTGGTTTTGTCTCGCCGGTTCCGAACAGAGAGCCGCGGCCGTGGCACTGGCCACTGGGGATTAACAGTTGACTTTTGAAAACGATTATTTTCCCTAAACTCGATCAGTTTAACACTTTGGGCCGGGGAGTAATTGCCAGCTAATCATGATTAATATAATCATGTAATTGTTGTCGCTATTCACCAGCCGTATTGTTTCTTGCTGGCTCGGAGTTTGCATCAAATAGAGGTAGGCAGCCATTCATCCATTGGAAACCAATCCACTTATTTGCACCTTGTTGAAGGGAAAATGCAGTTTCCCCCATGGTAGCAATGCTTTTAGACATATAAACTAGCCTATGCACAGCGGTTGTCGTGAGCGCGCGGTTGGCTGTGCAGGAACACTGGACACTCGAGCGCGCCTAGGCAGCATTTGGTAGGCCAAGGATTGCAGGAGAACTTGTTTGCATCCATGTTGTTCAACTTGCACTGTGGCCTTTTACGGTCACTCTGATTGCCAGCTGCGGACATGGCAACCGCAAGCAAACGTCATACCTATGGCAGAGCTGCCTCTCGCAAGATAGTCCGAGGCCACCCACACAGGCCATTACCAGCACTTGGGTCCCAACCACGGCTTTTTCAACCATGTCCAGAATCCCAGAAGTACTGTCCGAAAAGGCGGTGGTTGGGACCCAGGTGCTGGTACTTGTCAAAGTTGGTTAAACGTTGTGCTGTTGTGAAAGTTGCCTTGTCTCGGTCTGTTGGACTGTGCCCCACGAGTCAAACCTGGGGTTTTCTCCTTTAGCTCGTCTGCATCGCAAGTCTTCTGTTTGTTTTTTCTTGTATTTGGAGCCGTCGTATTGGGCTTGAGTCCCCCTCCAAAAGCCGTGGCTTTACCGAACCAAACCACGAATTGGGGGGAAGGTGAGAGAGAAGTGATACCCTTTTTCGTTAGTGCATTTTGCTTGGATGTTAGGACTTTAAACTTTTTGCCAACTGAGGGGTTTTCCGAATTAAACCACTAAATGTTGTAAACTTTTAGCTTGAGGGCAGAAAGCAACGGATTTCTGCAAGAATCAGGGAAGTTGGTTTCGGGGTTGGGGAAAGGGTTTGCTTTGTGTATGACCGCAAGAACTTCTATCCGAATGGGCAAATAACTTGGTTGCATAGGCGTCCTTATTCGGTGAGTTTGGTTAAACATAGATGGCACTGGTTTAGAATGGTTTGGTTCCATTTACCAGGGCCATCGATTTTTCCAAAAGGCCACCTATGCTTGGTTGGCTTTGGTTTGATAGCTTCTATTCTATCCAAATGGCCCAGCAAATGCTCGATGGCTAAGGCTCACGCCGGCCATCCCGGAGATTCCCGAGGAGCGATCAGAGAAGTTGCCAAGGCGTGTTTTTGTGAAGAGCTGGGGTTCAAGAACACAAGGAAACAACAACAACATGCAAAACAAGAAGCTGGCTACAAATAAGAACAATTCAATTCACTTGGCTGCTTCCTTGGTTTCCTTTATGTAAAAAATACCTTGGTTGCTTGCTAGTTCCCTTTTTTGGGCGAGGATTCCCTTCAACGCACCAGCCAAGGAACTCCCTTTTGGTCCCACTGGCGAAGAAAGCCGCGAGCTCGTGGGCCGCGAAAGACGAAAAACAAAAAACACACACATATGATGACTTCAAATAGGGGGACCCCCCACAAATGGTGGTGTTCCTGTTGTCTGTGGCTTTGTCTTTGTTTCAGCTGGTACCTCTGTTTTTGTTGGTCTTTGAAGGGAATCCAACAGGAGAAGCAACGCCATTTTGGGAGTCCCCCTGAAAAAGGACAGGCCCTTGCGGCATATCCCAAGTTGGATGTTCAGGAGGTTCAACCATACTCCTCAAAGAATCATGGATTTGTCTCTGGGGGAACCTCTCTCAAATGGCTGTTTGCCATTGGTTGTTTTCCCCTTGAAACAGCGCCAAATTTCTTGTCCGTGCTGACAGTGAGTTCCTGACTAAGCTTTCACTTCACCGAACAGGGGGTAAATGGAGCTAAGAAATCGTGTAGAGGGGGAAAAGAAAACATGAGCTGCCACTGCAGCATGTGCCAATACATGTCTCATTTCAGCCAAGTTGCAGGAGGCAGAAACGCTTCGAGCCAGGAGCCATCAGCCCTTCTCATCGCAGAGGCAGAGAGTCGGAAAACAGAGGCGCGGAGGGTGAGGCTTCGGATGAAACGGTGCAAGCTGGCAGTCTGGAAGTGTGGCAAAGGGAACTTTGAGTGCGTATTCACCGGAGTCCGCCATTGGATTCCTGGGGATTTCCAGGATGCAGCCGTCGCCAACGTTTCCCTGAGTTCGGAGTATCGCTGCAACGCAAAGTTAATAGCACTCGGAAGCAATGCCATGCTGCGTTTGTGTGCTGAGACCGAGCATGACATCATTCCCTCATCCTGAGACATGTTGAGGTGTTCTTGATTTCAGGTTGCTGAAGCACTGACGGAAGGAAACCGCTACACTAGTGCAACATGTTGTCACATTGACATGTCAGCGGATTGTTGCGGGTCTGTGGAAGCAGTTTTTCTGAAACTGGAACCTATTGCGCTGTTTCGAACCAGGAGCCATCAGCCCTTCTCATCGCAGAGGCAGAGAGTCGGAAAACAGAGGCGCGGAGGGTGAGGCTTCGGATGAAACGGTGCAAGCTGGCAGTCTGGAAGTGTGGCAAAGGGAACTTTGAGTGCGTATTCACCGGAGTCCGCCATTGGATTCCTGGGGATTTCCAGGATGCAGCCGTCGCCAACGTTTCCCCGAGTTCGGAGTATCGCTGCAACGCAAAGTTGATAGCACTCGGAAGCAATGCCATGCTGCGTATCTGTGCCGCGATGTATCGCGACCCCGTAAGTTAGACAGGCCCAGTATTAGCTTGGAGGATGGAGTTTGGCGGGCCCGGCTTTTGTGGTGGTTCCCGAAAGCATTGCGAAAGGTTCTTCCGGCAAAGCTGTTTGCCTTGTCGCACAGCAAGATACACGAGAAGACACGCAGGCATAGCAAGAGACACGAGAGCACACATCGAGCGCCCAAGCGTAGCAAGCTTGACACTTGCGCGAGCAGACTCACCGGAGCACACTCGCTGGAGCAATCTCGCACGAGCACAGATGCGTGAGAAAGCTAGCACGAGCACACTTGCAAGAGAAAAAATAGATTAAAGCCATTCCTTTAAGGCGGCGAGGTGGAACCAAACACGCTCTGCAAGAATGACCCCCTCTGCGGGGGATTGGCGTGGTCGATGCGGCAAGAAACCGAGGCCCTTCTGCTACTGTTTAGGGGATTGGCGCGGTCGATGTGTGAAAGCTGAGGACTTTTTTGGTTTGATCTGCGACCGACACTCCGCGGGGATCGGCGTGGTCATTGAGAACGACGCGCGCGAAGAAAACTTTCACTTGCAGAGATAATTTCGCAGACATCTTGTGCAGAGAAACATGCACTGAGAGCCCTCTTCGAGAGCTTGCATCGATAACTTGCGTCGATAACTTGCGCAGGGATGCTTCGCTCACTATGGTTCTCTATTTGTTTGTTTGTTTGTTTGTTTGTTTGTTTGTTTGTTTGTTTGTTTGCCTTGCTTGCTTGCTTGCTTGCTTGTTTGTTTGCGTGCTTGTCTTGTGAGACGGGAGGATTCAGTCAACTCATCCAGAAATATTGAGGTGTTCTTGGCCTCAGGTTGTTAGCGCATTGTGTGTAATGTCTCTCAGATTTCCGGTCTTGCTCCAGTGAAAGATCAGCAAACGAGCACTTGGGAGATGTTGCATTGGCCCCCGTGGCTTTCCCAAGCGCGGTCGGGCTGGAGTAGTTGCCGTTGTGGAGTGCTTGCACTGACTTGGGGCTCAAAATCCCTGAGGAATGAGTCAAATTCTGTAAATACACCACATACACACCCACACATGTCTAGAATTGCATGAAGGAGACCATGGCCAACTGGTTTGTTGCAATTGGGTTTACTTCTTGGTGGCCGTTTTGTTCTTTGTTTTTCCGCCTCACCCATTATTTCTTGGTAAAACCATTGGGTCTTCGCCCAAATTCCGGAGCTCTTGGTGATACCACCTGGTTGTTGTTTTTGGTGGCCGGTTTGTTTTCTTGTATTTCTCGCCTTACCCATGGCTCGAAATTTTGTTGTGGCTTTTCTTTGTTTTGGCATCACCATTTTGTTATTGGTTGTTTTATTTCTTGGTTGATTTCATGGTGGCCCCGTTGGCTCAACAATTTGTGTTGGGGAGCGATTTGCTCGGCTGGGCAGGCGGAGGTGATGCGGGCCTTAGAGGCAGTGGCGCGTTCTCAGCTTGCGTTCGTGGAGGCCGGGAGGGATGCCTTATGGTCGCCCTGGGGCGCCTTCTGTTTTTTCTTTCCCAGAGGCTCCCAATTGATTTAGGGCCCTCCAAACACCCTGGGTTTGAGACCCCTAACCATTTTCGGGGTGTCTAATGGAGGGGTCGGGTCTTCCATTGAAAGCCCCACAAGCCTCTGGGTTGGTGCATTTTGCTTGGATGTTAGGACTCCTATTGGGACTTTAACTTTTCGCCAACTATATAATGGGTTTTCCCATTAAACCCCTAAGAGTTGAACTTTTAGCAGGGGAGCGGATTTCGCAACCGAGTTATGGTTTGTTGAGGAGGGCTGTTCAACTGCAATATTTTTGCTTTCCTTGGGTTAAGTAGTCCACTTTCTGGGTTGCATTTCGGGATGGATTAGGATTGGCCAACTCCGGGGTTCTGCTGGGTGGGCGGCTGGATGGCTGTTGGGTGGTTTTGGGCGGGCTTGGATTGTGAGAAGGTGACGTTGGACAGGGGCTTCTGTGTGTTGGGGGATTGGGCGGGGATTCGGAAGGGGTCTGCGAACACGATGGTAGCAGGTAGCTATCGGGCCATTCTTGCAACTATTATACACGGAGTCCAAAGACTCATTTGGGGGGTTCAGCAGTAGGATTCTCATGATGAGAACCACGACCCTTGCACACAAGAGTTTGACGGCGTGGTTCTGAAAAACAATATGCTCCAAGATGCTACCAAGATGCTCCAAGATGCTCCAAGCAGTACTGCAAGATCTTCCGGCCTGTTTTGGGTGATCCCGTCATCCACTTTGCTCGGTGCGGGCGGCCATAGACCATCTTCTTAAAGAGGCAGGTCTTCATCTTCTGCGGGAACATGATGTGCTTCAGGATGACTTTGCTGCCATCATTGCAATTGCAGATGACCATCTGTAGCTTGGTCTCCTTGCCGCATCGCTCCTTCAAGCCGAAGGGACTTGGCAACAGCTGTAGGTCTCCCTGTTCACAGGCCTGCTTGTACAGTCGGCCGAGCTCTTGCATGTCGATGTCGTCATTAAAGCCCCGGATGATGTCGAAGACGTGCACGGACACATTGTCTGTGCTGCGGAGCTCGTCCATGGGAAACGTGGTCATGTCGAAGGTGCCACGTCGAAGCTCTGGAGTACATCCACAATGTCCTTCAACCCGTCATAGGTCAGGTTCTCCGCCTGCAGAGCCATGATAGTCAGGAGATGAGGATCTTGAATGCGATGGGAGCGGTGTGTTCGAACTGAATGGCTGATGGATGATGCGCTGCTGGTATTCCTTGACTATACCTGTGATTTGTTGTCAGTGGTTACACTGTGAGCGTTGGAGAGGGCAAGGTCCTGTGCTAAAACCACATCCTCGCACGTTTGAAAAAACAAGGATTTATATGAAAAAACACACCGCTCAGGACCTTGCGCTCTCTTGAGTTTAGGCATCATTTGCTACAACCATACCGGTTTCCTTCGAAAGACAAATAAAAGGAGCGAGGTTTAAACACTAGTCAACAGCGGCTCAAGGGCAAATGTTTAAACGGGAGCTTGGTCCCCTGATTATTACCCCTGTGACAAACCAGGTGCCCCCGACAAACCGAAGGGCAGAACCCGCACTGCCATTTCAATTCGCCGTCCCCTTTTCATGGTTGTTGTTGGGAAACATGTTACATTTTGGCTTGCGGTTTAGCGGTTGAAATCCCCACTGAACTGCTGAAAGTTTAACTGTGAAAGTTTAGCGGTTGAAATCCCTTCTGAACTGCTGAAAGTTTAACTCTGAAAGTTTAGCGGTTGAAATCCCTTCTGAACTGATGAAAGCTTAACTGCTAATTGTTTTCCAGTACTGTGGTTAAGTTATTGTTGCAAAATCCCCACTGAACTGGTAAAACTCGCAACATTTTCGCTCCCCTTCCAACGATCAGGGAGCGCCGTAGCGAGGACGCAAAAAAGCCACGCTGCAAATGGCCAGGTCTTGAAGCAGCGGGCCCCCCAACTGGGGAGTTTCCTTTTACCCTTGCAACCAACCCCAAAGGGTACCTTTAAAGGATTCTTGCCCAAATGAGGGTAAAGCAGAAGGCGATGCTGCTCATGCGAAGCATGGATAGCTATGACTAATTGGTGCACACTTTCGAATTGCCTGGCTGGATGCTTTTTTTGTACTGACTTACCAAATAGCCATTGACTCGTGGAAGCGACTTCTGCGGAGCCAGTGAAAGAGGACGAATCTGGCTCGGCTGGATTCAACATGACTGAGCCTGGGCCGTTTTTGTTTGCTCAGTTTGGTTGGCAATAATGAAGTCGGTTTTGGTTTTAGGTCAGTTTGGCTATAGATGGTACTGGTTTTGATGGTTTGGGTTTAGTTTTTGCATCCACCAAAACCGAACAGACACCTATGGGACGGTGACACCGGAGATCGGTTCGCCAGGCCGAGGCCTTGGCATCTTTGGCGCTGCAGGCGCGGGAGGTTGGTCTCTTGGCGGTTCCGGTCGGGGGAAGCGTCGCGGTTCCGTACTTCCATGTGCTTTTTTTATGTTCCCCTGATGCGAATCTGTCACTATTGGACACATGTTTATTGTGTTTTCTTTTTGCTTAAGATTATGTGTTGTATTTATAACACCCTGTTGGGTTTACAGGGAATCGATTTCACTCTTGGACATATGTGTTTCTCTTTTCTTTTTCCCCAGGGGGGCGAAAGCAAATAGAGGCTTAGGGTTTTGGGTGTTTTTTGGGTTAGTGGCAATTAGTTCCCCCTGAACCCACAAGTTCCACTTTGACAGATGAGTCTGGACAGCCCAGAAATCAGGCTGGAAATGGGTCTCTCTCTCTCTCTCTCTGTGTTTTCTCTAGCTGAAAGCTATGGGGTCCGCAGGCCAATGGTTAGGTGCCAGGGTGGCTTGCAGCTTTCAGGGAGGGTTCCGGAAAGGTGGAAGGGAATCTGGGGCTGTTGGGTCCCGATACCTGACTTGAATTTGAGGTTCGGCACCCACGTCCGGGTGGTGTTTTGAAGGGAAACCAGCTCGGAACACCACGATCGGGGTTCCCTGCTTTCTCACTCGCTGAGTTCCATTTCGGACTTTGCACTTGAGGTTCTGCAGCATTTGAGTGGTAAAAAACAACTTCCATTTGGTTAAGGATATGTTTTATTGTTCCCGGTTGGTTCTATCACTACTGTTTTTTTCCAGGGGACTTAAGCAAGTGGAGCAAAAGTTTGGCCAATTCACTCAGGAAGTGAGCGTTTCGGGAACAAATCGCATGTGATTTCCCAGCGGCAGGCAGGTTTGCTTGAATGGTTCAGCCGATTCGCACTTGGGCAACAAATGAACCTGTTGCTTGGCATGGGTCCCAACATGCAACGGAAGCCTCAGAAAGATGATGTTTTAACGACATGCCAGCACCCCCATATTGGCCCCAATCAATTGTTTTTTGGAGGGTACTGGAGACTTTGGACATAGAAAGATCTAGGGGTACCTTTCCCATTCTTTCCAGGGATCCTTCTTTCTAGAAAACCTCCGCAAATCCATGGAAAATAGCTTTTTTTAGGAACGATGGTTGAAAATAATGGAAAAGGAATCAAGCCCTAGATTCATGAACCCTTTTTTCCCTGTTGGATTGTTTTTTTCCCCTAGAGCAGAGAGCCGGAGGGGTGATGGTTGGTTCATGGTTTCAACAGGTGCTCGCCAGACGCCCATGAAACTTGGGCCACAGAGGGTTGATCTTTAAGGGCGGGCGCTTGGAGCAGCAGGTGAGGGTTTGGGTGATCTTGCAAGTGGGCTTCCGCAATGCTACTGTGGATGGGTCCGCGAAATCCATTTCGCACCACCTAAGAAACCCTGGTTTCTGATGATTCCCCTGCAAATACCGAGAAACAATGGTTTCCTTTGCTTTCAAAGTGGTGCGAGTGGATTTCGTCCATCCACGTATGTGGGAGAGAGTGCAATCCCCATGAAATCCTGAAGTATTGGCCTTAGCTAAATTTTGGCGAATCGGGGTTTTAGCCGCTCTAGTCAAGTCTGATGGGGTAAACAAAAAATTCAATCTGCCTGACTTTGGAACATATTGCTTGGAGGTCGAAGGGTTGCCCTTGCTATCTCCCACGGATCTACCCTCTCGTGTTGCCGTGAGTGTAACATCGGGAGATGGAATCCGCCATAAGTCGCATCCAATGACACCACAACGTTTCTTTGGTGTACATTTTCTGGGGTGCGTTTGACAATGTCAAAAAGTCATTTGCGTTATTTGTGTGTGTTTATCGATGTTTATTTGTCGCTGGCAATTTCGAGAAACAATGGTAATTGGCTCGGCAAGGCTTGTCACCGAACAACTTCATTACAAGGCCCTTTTCTGGTTTGAACTTTGTTTAAAGCTCATGCGGAAATAACTTAGTAAATTCAAAATCCCATGAAACACTTCTAAGAGGAAACCCTGCGTTGCTTGATCCCTCGTTGCCAACATGTGGCGGGTTTACCCTCTAGCGACCGACATGCAATAGTGACTATGTTACCATACGAGGCGCTGGGGCTTTCATGATCGTCTCGGCCACGCGATGAGGCCACTTGATGCTGTCGTTCAAAGTCAGCCCAACAAGTTGAGCACCAGTGAGCCTTCGTTTTTGGGGCACCGCTTGACTGTTGAAGTTTGGTTTGTTCGGCCCTTTCGTGGCGCGATCTTCAGGGGCTACCGACAAGTAGTACTTACTTGGGAGGTTATAATAACTTGCCCTGGGTGTCTTGTTGCAGGCCACTTTTGTAGTAGCCCACGTAACTGAAACGTAGTTTTGGCTTGTTGATGACCGAGCGCTAGGATGAACAGACTGAGACTGGGTCTCTGTGTCTCTGTGTGTACAAGACTAAGAGAGACCGTGTAGTAAGCGCTCCTGAGGGCAGCGATGAATCCCGAGTACATCACCACCCAGGACACAAGTGGCATCCTTATTTCAGACAGCATCCAAGCTGCCAACATCAACAAAGGAGGGGCTTCCCCGAATATGGACTTGCTGGGTGTGTCCGGCGTTTCAAGCCCGCCGCCCCCGATCAGCTTCCTGGCCTCCGCTCCTTCGCCGCCTTGGCGGGTCCTGAATGAGAAGGAGGCCTTTTTGGAAACTCCGTAGCAGATGAATCAGGGCCGGGCTCGGCAGAAAAATGCCAAGCCGGCAGCCGCGGTCAACCATGCTAATTTTTCAATGTCAAGCAATGATGCAAACTGCCCAGGAAAGGTGCCATAGGTTCAAGACCGTGGCTGCGAACGCTGTGTGGCCTTTGTCACGGAAGAGGAGCAACACAACGACCGTGAACCTTACCTAAAGCTAGTTCTCTCACTAAATGCTGCCGCCTAGTTTTGCTGAGTTGCTTTCCTCACAGAAACTGGCACTGTGCAGGGAACTGGCCCATACTCTTCTGAAGATGGCGGCTGAGGATGCCATCAACTTTTTCTTGGTTGACACATCGAAAGCGTTCTTGATCCTTCTTGCCGGCACAATGGGCAAAGGCTTACGGCACCCGCTGCAATGAAACAGTTGTTTTTACCAAAAAATCATTAATTGCGGGTTTTGCAAATCTAAAAGTCTCGCATTTAAGCTAATCACTGTTTTAGCGGTAGGGCCGCGGGGGCCCTACCCTTAGGACAGTCGGTAGCGCTACCGACTGTCGTAAGCAACCCCGTGACACTGTTAAATGCATCTTGGGTTAGCCCTGGCGCGCTTAAAACAGCTTAAAAAACGATATCGTTGAACCGGGGGGGGTTGCTTACGACAGTCGGTAGCGCTACCGGCTGTCCTAAGGGTAGGGCCCCCGCGGCCCTACCGCTAAAACAGTGATTAGCTTAAATGCGAGACTTTTAGTTTTGCAAAACCCGCAATTAATTTATGGAACCCATGAGTTCTGAGGCTACTCGGAGTGTTCTATTTTGACTCCCGCGTGGCTACCCGTACTGGTGCCTACTACACCTCTGAGGCCTACCAGCTCCCTACCTAAACATCGCTTTCGATGTGTCAACCTCCAAGAAAAAGTTGATGGCATCCTCAGCCGTCACCTCCAGAAGAATATGGGCCAGTTCCTTGCCAGTTTCTGTGAGGAAAACAACTCAGCAAAACTAGGCGGCAGCATTTAATGCGAGAACTAGCTTTGGGCAAGGTTCACGGTCGTTGTGTTGCTCCTCTTCCGTGACAAAGGCCACAGCGTTCGCAGCCACGGTCTTGAACCTATTGAAAAAGTAGCATGGTTGACCGCGGCTGCCCGCTGGCATTTTTCTGCCGAGCCCGGCCCTGATTCATCTGCTACGGAGTTTCCAAAATGGCCTCCTTCTCATTCAGGACCCGCCAAGGCGGCGAAGGAGCGGAGGCCAGGATTGCAGCTGATCGGGGGCGGCGGGCTTGAAACGCCGGACTCACCCAGCAAGTCCATATTCGGGGAAGCCCCTCCTTTGTTGATGTTGGCAGCTTGGATGCTGTCTGACATAAGGATGCCACTTTTGCCCTGGGTGGTGATGTGCTCGGGATTCATCGCTGCCCTCAGGAGTACTTACTACACGGTCTCTCTTAGTCTTGCAGACACAGAGACGCAAAGAGACCCAGCTCAGCCTGTTCATCCTAGCGCTCGGTCATCAACAAGCCAAAACTACGTTTCACCTGCAACAAGACACCCAGGGCGAGTTATTATAACCTCCCAAGTAAGTACTACTTGTCGGTAGCCCCTGAAGATCGCGCCACGAACGGGCCGAACAAACCGGTGCCCCAAAAACGAAGGCTCGCTGGTGCTCAACTTGTTGGGCTGACGTTGCACGACAGCATGAAGTGGCCTCATCGCGTGGTCGAGACGATCATGAAAGCCCCAGCGCCTCGTACGGTAACAGTCACTATTGCATGTCGGTCGCTAGGGGGTAAACCCGCCACATGTTGGCAACGAGGGATCAAGCAACGCAGGGTTTCCCCCAGACTTGGAAGTGGTTCATGGGATTTTGAATTTACTAAGTTATTTCCGCATAAAGGTTGAACCAAGTTCAAAACAGAAAAGGTATAGGGTAAACCTTGCAATGAAGTTGTTCAGTGACAAGCCGTGACAAGCCTTGCCGAGCCAATTACCGTTGTTTCAAACATCGAGAAACGCACAAATAACACACATGATTTTTTGACATTCTTAAACGCACCCCAGTTTTCCTCTGGTTTCTTACTAAACTGTGGGTGGAAGAACGTTGGTACATGGGGGCTGGTCAACCATGTCGACCCTTGGACAACCACGGAATTTCAAGGGGACCAAGACCCGGAGCCACGCAAGGAGTTTTGAGACCAATGCGTGTGCTCTGAGAGAGGCAATTGCGAGACATCCAAACAACTGATTCATGTATATGCATATCTTTATCTAGGCATGTTTTTCTCCTGAGCAAGTCATTCTTTTCAGAAGCAAGTTTGAAGGACCCAGGCAACACACACACATGTGTCTGTGTGTCTGTGTGTCTGTGTGTCTGTGTCTGTGTGTCTGTGTGTCTCTGTGTCTCTGTGTCTGTGTGTCTGTGTGTCTGTGTGTTTGTGTGTCTGTGTGTCTGTGTGTCTGTGTGTCTGTGTGTCTGTGTGTGTCTGTGTCTATTGAAGTGTGTGTGTGTGTGGTGTATGTTTATGGCAGCTTTTGGTGGTGCCTCTCAGGGGCAATCAAACACGGATTTTCGGGGTCCCATGAGATGCTCATAAGACGCCTTTGAAGAAAGGGCGTTTTGCGTGGGCCTCCCCCCAAAGAGTGAGGGTTTTCTTTTGTTGAGGCTTTTGTTTGATCTGTTTCTTAGAACTCGCAGTCTCCGTCCACAGACAAGAAGCAAGAAATCGATTTGCCAATCTGACCACTGCATTCCCTTTGGTTGGTATTCTGTAATTCTAGGGGTTGATTCCTTTTCCATTCTTCTCAACCATCGTTCTTTTTTTTTGAAAAAAATAGCAGATTTCCCTGGGTTTCCGGAGGTTTTCTAGCACCCCTGGAGAATTGGGTTGTGCGATTCTTCAAAACAGAGTTAAGTCATGATCATGAGGGAAGGATGTTTGTAATTGTTTAGCCCCTGAGCCTACTTGGGCAAGGGAAGTTCCCACCAGAACTCTTGGTTCCAAGGGTTTTCAATCAAGGGCGGAGCATTGCAATACATTGCGCCGTAACAATGCAACATGCACAGATTGCACTTCCCTGAATGTCCAAGTAGGTACCCACTGTGCTGAACGACTTCTTTTTACCCCCAAAAGCCATCCTCAGGCCTTGATTGGAAACTCAAGGTGGCCCTGAATTAATTGGTTTCCTGTCAAGGTCCTCCAGGCCTGTTGGCACTGGCACGCTTTTCCGCTCGAATTTGTCAGGGCAAGACCGAGCAGAGTCCGCGTGAGCCGCGTGAGGCGGGCGAGCCCAGCTTCTTGGTTTGCAGGGGAAGCGGTTGGGACCAACATTTTGGAGCAACGACCCACCTTAAAGGGTACCTAGAGTCTCCTTCTGACCCTTTAAAAATGGTTGGTCATTAATTACCCTAAATAATGGGGTCATGGTATTAACTTGCTTAATCTGGGGTTTGGACCTGTTCGGTGAAATTAGGCTAAAATAAGCGTTTTTGTCGTCCACTTCGAGCCTTGTTCCATGTTGCTCGGGCTTTGGGGTATGGAAAAAACACTTTTGAGCCGTTTGGCTCCGTTGGAGAATCAGGTCGGACCAGGTCAGTCATGCTGTGTGCCGTATGCGGGCATTCACTTGCTCATGTTGGCGCGCTTGGTGTTTGAGAGAAGTGTTTTTGACATGTTTTTCAGCCCAAAAGTTCAATAAGTGTTTTTGGTTTCGGGGGCAAAGTCAAAAAAACTTATCGGCTATCAGGCCGCAAAAAAACACTCAATTTGCTTTGATGGAGGCCCGCCACATGGATTTGGGCCGTGGATTGCTAAAGATACGTTCCTAAATTGCAGAGTTGATACGCTTGATAGAGAACGAATTGAACAAACTGTGTATTACAGCATGGACATGTGCCGTGTAACCAAAAGGGCAGCGGCTAAAGGGCCAAACAGATTGGCAAAGTCTTGCAAGAGTCTTGCAATGGTCTGTAGGCAACATATTAGGTCTTCTCAGCTGGATTCTGCAACAACTGTCCTTTGTGACGACCTGTTCCATGTCTTGTGGATATATTGTGTCAGCCAACACGAAATGTAGAACCGCCATCAATAAACCGTCCCCCACCCTGGGAGATGAATAGAACAAGGCCACCTAGCATGAATATTGGTCAGAAGTGGGCCTCGTCTTGCTCGTCTTGCTCTGCGGCCCTCTTCAGTCCTCCCTGTTCAGTATCGCTTTGGTATTGGCTCTGTATAGGTGGAGTTACTTGCGCAGTATTGCTTAGGTGGCTTAGTGTGTATTGCTGTTGGTTCCTTATTTCTGTTTCAGTGTTGTGTTAGTGCTGTTCAATTGGGAGTGGCTCCATTTACGAATTCAGGTGCCATTTCTTGGTGGCTCCCAGCCTCCCCTTAGCCTTTTAGCTTGTTTGTGTGGCAGTTAGTCACTTTTAGCGGGGGATCGGAAAACTGGCGGCCCAGATTTTGGTACATGTATTCGAGCCACAGCCATTTGGCCATGCTTCAAAACCAATGGTACCATTTTGGGATAGGTACACCACCCATTTTGGAACCTATTTTAGTGGTTGGATAGGGATGTTCACTGGGTAACCGGGGCTTTGACCCATGGCCATTTGTGCATGTCTTGCCAGGCTCAGGTGTTGGAAGACAACCGCCTGGCCGGGGCAGACGCTGTGCGGGCTGAGGCGCGGAATCGCGCAGTTTTTTTTCGTGGCATGTGCCATGTGTCAAAGCATCCGAGGAAATAGCTCTGGATGGTTGCGAAATCCGTTCGCAGCACCTAAGAAACCATGGAGAACCATTAGTTGTTGGTATTTACAGCTGGATCGTCACTCAAGGGGTTCTTAGGGGGTGCAGGATTTCGTCCATCCACAGTAGGGCTAGTCCAGCGCCACTGCTGTTTGGATACAGTAGTGCCTATGTTTGGGAGTGCGCTGGAGGGCCCTTGACAATCATGGGAGGTGGGTGCTTGGTTCATTGCACTTGCTGGGAGACAAGGATCAGTGCAAAGAGGGAGGTCAGATTTGGAGGTTCTGCTGTGTCGGCAGTTTGTGCAATGAGTTTCTTGCCAATGGTCTATTGTCTCTTAATCCTGACTGACATCTATTTTTGATTGGTGGCGCCCAGCCATCCCCTTGGCTTTTGGCTTCTTTTGGGGTGTAGTGGGGATTTCCATTTAACCCACTAAAAGTGTAATAAACTGTTAGCAAGGGATCTGAGGACGACCCAGTTTTATACGCACAAGGTATAGTGGTGTATTGTTGGGTGACTGCTGTTAGAAGCCATTCTCCTCAGGCACATGCTCGCCACAACAGATCAGCAAGTCTCGTGCGAGGACTTTGCTACCGGCAGGTTAAGAGGCTCCTGGGGGTTTGCACGTCGCATAGATCCATCGTCTCAGTTGCCCAAAGCCGACCTTTGACCTTTTGGTTTCTCCTTTTTGGTCTAGCTTTAGTCATGCCCCCAAAAGGTGATCACCTTTTATTTCCGGGTCCTTTGGGCAAGTGAGATGTTTTTTTGAGTACTCCCAGCTGATCTCGGCGTGCCTTTTTTGCGGGTCGCCTCCCAGTGGTTCCTATGAACCCAGGCGCTGGCTCCCGTACTTTTGCTTTCAAACTGGTTTGAAAGGAAATCTACCGCAAATCTTGTTCCGGGGGACCGAATCAAATGGGTAGTTGATGTATCAAAATCGGTGGAGCCCATTTTGAGGTTCCTTCTGACTTCCCTTCAAAACCAGAACCCCATCCTGGGAAAAAGGGTTCCCGGAACAGACACCCATTTGGGCACGCGTCAAAGCGCTGACCCCCAAAAAAAAGGATCGCGCCCACATACACCCACATTTGGGCACGTGTCCAAAAAAAAGAACAGTGACCCCCCCAAATGGCAATTTTTGGGGGTCCTCGTCTCGGCCGAAGAAAAGCCCACACACACACACAGAAAACGGCCCGCGGACACTGGTCGCTGGCATAGGTGCCCTTTTTGGTTGTTTTGCTAGAAAAATAGATGACCCTGGTTTACCTGGTGATTTATTAATCTGCCAGGGAAACCCATCTATTTCCAACCTAAAAGGACACCCATGTCAGGGAAACCAACTAGCAAGTATACAGGGGGAACCAGGGCTACGGGTCCCGGATTCCCCCTAAATGCACCTTGACTAAGTTTATGGGAAATGGTGCCAAGGGAATCCCCCCATATCCCCGCTCCCTTCGTATCCCCGCTTGTTCGTTTGTCCAACGTCGCAGGCTGAGGCGCAGGAAGCGCTCAATGCCACGGTTGAGGGCGCCAGGCGCTCGGAGTACGCGCAGCTTGAGGCGGGGAATCCGAAAAAAATCGGGGGGGGGGGGTGGTGCCGGGGTTTTCGCGTAACCCGAAGACCTCAGAAGACCACCCCAGTGTCCGGGAATCTGGGGGACTTCGGGGTGAGGTTTTCTCGTAGCCCAGAGCCTTTTCAGGGTTGTCTGCTTTTCCTGGAGGTTTTTTTGGTAATGGTCTCCTCTTATGGTGGAAGCACATCATGGTCTCCTCTTATGGTGGAAGCACCGGGACGAAAAAGGAGGGAAGCTGAGAAGAACCTTGCGCGTGTCGGGAACCCCCAAGGTGTCTTGACATGGTCACGCCATGTCATGCCATTCATCCCCTTGGATAAGGGTCCCGTTGAACAAACCATGGGATTCCAAGCGAAAGTGTAGCCGGCTATCCCTTCATAAGCCAAGAATCATCCACGGACAGGCCCTCCTCGCCTTTTCTGGCGGCACCATTTGTTGGGTCGCCTTGCTTCGGTACCCATGACCTTTGGTTCTGCCAGACCTTCATCGCTCGCACTCTTTTTTCTTCTGGTCCAGGAAGACAGGGGTTTAAATTTGGGTTTGTCTCCTGTGGGAACGCTTTGGGCCCCGAGCTCCGAGCGCAGCTCCGCGGCCCGCGGCCCTCTCGGCCGGAGGCGGAGGCCCAGCGAGCCTTGGACCTGAAGCGCCTCGCCGCAGCGCGGGCGGTGGCGGAAGCCATCCAGGCCGGGACCCGCGCCCGCGCAGGCGGCAGGCGCAAGCCGGAGGCGTCGTGTTGGGTTTCCAGCAAGGCAAGGCTCACACCGAAAATCAGCCTGGGGCTGGCCCTTGAAGCACTCTTTTGGGCTTGGAAGTAAAGGGTTTCCCTTTCAATACATGGGGAAGGGCACCGGAAACACATGGGAATACGCGGGGAAACTATAGGAAACCATGGGAAATCCCAGCAACACCCTATACTTCGTTGTTTTTTATTTTTGTGTTTGTTCAAAAAACAAAGTGGTTTGCACCAATACCAAGAGTTGCAGAGTATAGGCAACGTGTGGGAAACCTTTCCTCGTTGCTTCCAGATCAGGCTGAAGAGGCCCTCGATGCCACCCGTGCAGCAGCCGAGAAGGCGCAACATGCCGCGGCCGAGGCGTGGAACACGAGCGATGGTCTGGTTTCAGAAAAAGGTACCGTCGGTACCGTTGGAAGACCATACTCCTCTTAAAAAAAAACAACAACATCGATTCCATGTTAGGAGGGGGTGCTGAAAGGACCCGTGTTCCCCCTTGGTTTATCCAAATCCGCAAAATCTGATCAGCAAGTTAGTTTACTTTGCTGGTGAAGAAACAGGCATTCCATTTGGTGTCGAAATTGGGGTGACCCTATAGGTGAGTGGCTATTCTTTTGGTGTCCCTTTAAACCAACCCCTGCAAGAGGTATCCTTCGCTTGACTGCTATTGGGTTGGATCTTTAGACTTTACCTTTCGGGGAAATCAAGGGGTTTGCCACTAAACCCCCAATAAGTTTTAAAACAAAAAACAACATTTTTGCAGGGGGGTCGTTGCAGCAACCAAGATTCACCTCACAAAAGCCCACCCCGCCATGCCACGACCCGCGTGTCTCGACCTCTCGACCCAGGCAGAGGCCACGAAAGCCCTGGAGGCCAGCACGGCCCAGCAGGAGACTCACCAGGCGGAGGCGAGCCGTTTTTGTGGGATCCGTCTCGTTTTCAGTTGAGAACCCCCAAATTGGCGGTTCCCTTTAACCTAAAAGGGTACCAACCAAACATATGATTCACCCATATGGGATCTGTCTTGTTCCGAGTTGGTAACCTCCTTTTTGGTGGGTTTTAAAGGGAAACCAACGCAAGTTTTGGGCTGTTGTCGGTTTTTCAACGTCCAAAGTCCCTGTCCAAAAGCCCCGGTTTGAAGGGGAATCTATCACTACTGCTAAGTGGGAAGTTTATGTGTCAACATATGTTGACCCACGAACTGCTCACGTTCCCTTTGGTGTCCCTTTAAAACCAGCCTGGAGAAGGTACCCGCAACAGACACCCATTTGAGTACGCGTCAAAGGTTGACCACATGCAGGGACCCAAAACGGCTGAATGGACGGCGTTGCTTTGGGGAAATTCCAAGTTGAAAAAGGGGGCAAATGAAACCCACGAATGTGGCTCGCTTGGGTTCTTCCAGAAAGGAAGGTACCTGACAATCACGATCATGCTGCTTTGTTTTGTGGTACCCACATACGAACCACTGCTTTTTGGCGGTGTCTTTTCTCAGGGGGGCCCTTCCAAAATGTGGTTCCGTGCGGGTTCCCTTTAAACCCCGCCAAAAAGGGTGTTACCAACTCAAAGCAAGACAGTCGTTGGAAACAAAAGGCAGTTGAAGGGCGTGTCATTTTTTGGGGGGACGGGACCCCTCCAAACCGGCAGTGTTGCTTTTGGGCCAGCCATTGCCCGTGTCTCATTTGGTCAGGGAAACCAACTGGCAGGGATACAGGAAAAACCAGAGATACAGCAGGATTCCTCCCAAATGCACCTTGACCAAGTTTGGTATGGGAAAAAGGGCGCCAAGGGATTCCCCCCATATCCCCGCTCCCTCCGTATCCCCGCTTGTTTGTTTGTACAAGTAGCAGTCAATCAAATGGGACCATGGTCAAGTCATTTGTTGGTTGTAAAGCCAACTTCTTCCATTTGTTTAAGACACATCACATTGAATTTGGAGCCTCCGGTTTGAATTTGGCGTCCAAAAAGCCCGTTTCAAGCGCGGAGCCGAGCATCGCGCCGAGCGCCCAACGCGCGAGGCAGAGGCCTGCCAGGCCCTGCAGATCACCCGCCAGGCCAACTTCAGCCAGGCCCAGCGCATCGAGGCGACGGAAGCGGCTCGCTGGTTTGATGGGGGGCCGGCTCTGCAATTGGCTGTTTTTTTTGTGGTTTTTGTGTGATTTGTTTTTTTTGGGGGGGGGGGCTGGTTGTAGTTTTTTCGCCCTGGGGGTCGGTCTGGGTTTGGGGCTGGTTGTATTTTTTGTTGCTACCCTTGACACCATTCTTGGGGCGACTCCCAGCGGGGTGCGCTGGGTCTCCGCGGCGATTTTACGACCGAGCGAAAACCAATTTGATTCGGGGGAAAATGAGCGAACACCTTAAGCAAGGTCCTTGACTTGGGGATCAAATTCCTAACTCAGCTTTTGGAATTCAGGTAAGTATTTGTACCTTTCGGGTTTTACATGATGGTTTCTCCTTGCCTACTATAGCTACTGGAAGCACAGGAAGCACGTTCTTTTTGACTTGCTTTTTGGCTGCGGGGTTAGGTGGTGTTCCCTGCAGCTCGGCAGCAGTTGCCGTATGTTGCCGTAGCCGCAGGAGGAGGCGGCCCGCTTGCTGGCCTTCAGGAAGGCGGAAGAAGCCGCAAGAGAGGCAGTGAGCGCTCCGCGTTTTGTTCGTCGCCTTCCGGCAAGGCACGTGTGAACATATGGCCATGGCTCAAAACCGTTTTGGTATCCCATTTTGGTTGGTCTGTGAATTCACCCATTTTAGAACCTATTCTAGTGGTTGGATGGGGATGTTCACTGGGGGTATGTGTGAGCCAGGCAAAAATGGAAACTTCGGGTAGATGAACCCCTTATGGATTCCCCAGTCAAAAGAATGAATGGCCTTAGGACACCCTGGCTAGATGAACCCCCTATATGGGTTCCTTGCCCCAGTCAAAAGAACGATGAGGCACGTGCAGAATGACGGCAGGAACCTCCGCATGCGCTACTACGACGACAACCAGCGGGCCAGCTGCGCATTGCCTTGCGCTAATCCGCATTGCCCGTACTCGGCTGTCTGCGGGCAGTACCTGGACGGCGCAAACGACATGCATGATCGCCACCGATGCAGTGGCTGCGTAGCAGACGCGCGCGACAAGGCATGTTGACCGGCTTGGCATGCCTTGCATCACGCGCTCCCGAGGCAGAATTTGGACCCCATAGGATGATCACAATCCGTGGGTAAACAACGGTGCTTATATGAACCCCTATTGTTTTTAATGGTGGCTTGACCCCAGAATGAAAGTTGATGGATAATCCCAACCATGGGTGCAGTTTCCTTGCATGGAGTTGGCTAGAACATCTTAATACCAGGAAATGATGATTGTAGCTCATGTGGCCTTGCACAAATCACGCTTTATAAAAAAGGGGCAGGAAAGTTACACGGGCATACTAAATCCTGCACCACGTAAGAATCCCTGGAGTGATTTGGTTCTCCTGCAAATACCAACCAACGCTATGGTTTCAAGCATGGTTTCTTATGGTTCGAGAAGCAGATTTCGCAAGCATCCACAGTTTTTGCCAAATCCCTTTTGGGTTTGTGGATGTTTCAATAGCAATGGAGTGAAATATTCCTGATTTTTCTTAGGGTTTAGCGCTTGGGTTTCCATTCAACCCACGAAAAGTTAAACGTTTAGCAGGGGATCTGAGGGCAGCCCAGGCCGACTTGTACTTGTTTGCCTGTCTTGTCTTGCTGGTTCGATAGGCAGGGAACGACAAATGGAATGACTCGGAAAAACCAGAAAATCCCCTTCCGGTTCATTCCCAAAATTCTAGGTCATTCCCTACTGAGCACCAACAAGTTTTTTGCCATAAGAGTTCTGAGGATACTTATCGACGGTTTGGAAGTTTCCAAAGCATTTTGAGGCATGCACACGCAGCTAGCAAAGGTGGAACTGGAATGGATGGATGTTTTCTAGCAGTAGCCAAGGACCCCTGGAATTGGTTTATCACCTGCAACATCCCAGAAAACCCGCAGACAAATTCTATGGAATTGGTTCCGATCGCCGACAAGCAGTATCCAAAGGCAATATCCATCTCACCCAAAAGAAGCCGAATCGTGAGCTGAACAACTCTTGCGACTCGGCGGGACCCGATCGATGTGTGCGTTGGCTCATATTTTTTTGGCCATAGTAAGACAGGTTGCTTGTGACTGGGGTTGGATCCCTAGAGGGATTTCAGACACTCACTTCCTGAGTTCAGTCGGACTTTGTACTTGTTCGGAATTTCCATTTCGGTATTTTTGTTGGCCCATGAATTCAGGAAGTGAGTTAGGATTCCAAGTTTTTAGGACCCATGACCGTGGCAAATAGTCTTGACCACGGCCTTTCAACGCCCAAGTTGGGCAGTGCCAGGCAATATCCAAACCGTAGGAGTGCACCCCAAAACAAGAAAACGGCTCGACGGAAGCTTGAACCTGCCTGGAATGCCCTGGCTTCGGGGTGATTTGGGCTTTGCTGGAGAAATGCTCCGCCCTTTTGCGTGTTCGAATCAGTTGAAGCCCGGTTTTTGGGGCGCAAATAGGTTTTCCACGCTCCACTGCAATCCACCAAACCACCAAACCACGCGTTCTGAGCTAGAGGCAACGTTTTGGCTTTTCCGCCCAACCCAAAAGAGTTGTCAAGAAACGAAATGGCCGCGCTTGCATGGTTGTTGTTGGGAAACATTTTACATTTTTGCTTATTGTGGTTTACTGCTTGAAATCCCCACTCAACTGCTAAAGTCTAAATGGTTGCTCCCCTTTCAACGTCAACCGGGCTCGCGGAAACCCCGCCGACCATTTTGATCACGTGCCTCGTCCACATGCCTTGCCTGATTGTGAAGGCAGAGGAAGCACGCTGGGCCTCGCGCAGGGTGGAGGAGGCGAGTCGGAGTTGCTCGAGCGCACGGGTTCGGAGCGGCGATCTGCGGATTGATGGATTGCCACGGTTCATATGACTAATTACTAGGTGTGCCCTTTTACCCTTTTCTGGGGGAGGGTTCCCCTACTAAAATAGACTGCAGAAAAAAGGGGAACCCTTATTCTATCCTCTCTACTCAAGGACCTAGTATGGCGAATTGGGAATTTGATAGGGAACCTCCTGGTTTGTTTCTTGGACACCCCCAACTGGTAGTTGTCCTTTTGGTTTTCCTGTCAAGCACAAACAAAAAGGGTACCCTCCAAACAAAAGCAGAACATGTTACCCTGAGCGCGGGAATTGTCTCCACAGTATTTTTGGTGCCCGTTTAGATGCAAGGAATGGATCTCAGTGGGTTTGTTGAGCGTGTTCATCGCCTTCTCCGATGGCCGCCTCGGGTGAATGGAGTTATTTCAGGTTTTTAGGTAGACCACCTAAGGAACATGGGCTCCCACGGTTACTCTTGGTATAGTGGTTGGGCTTCCATGTGTGCCAGATGGAAGGATTGTAGCGTTTGGACAGCCCATTGGCCGCAGAGTCCAGGTGTGATGTCTTGGAACATGTGTGGGAAGCGAAGAGGAAAGCCGAAGCCATGTTGGGGGATCCCCCCAAAAACACCCATGTAATGTGGACATACTGCGGCTTGTTCCCTCAAATAGTCGTTTCGGAACTTGCACTGGTGAGGGAGTCACCAGTATTGTCGGCACAGCATTGTTGCTGCATATCCCTAGCCTCCTTCGTTTAGACTTGTTGATGGATTCCCCGCCGATAACTTAAAGAGTTGCAACACATTTTTCTAGGGGTTGATTCCTTTCCCATTCCTTTCAACCATCGTTCTTTGCAACATCCAGCTGTGTCCCCAGGGTTTTGGGTGTTGTAGAAAGCAGGATGACTGGGTTCAGAATGGAAATGGAGGCTACCCCTGGCTCGAGGTTCCGACTGCCCGGGCCTGCGCGCGCCAAAGCTGCGCCAGGCGGAAGCTGCGCGCGCTGCGGAGGAAGCGGAAGCGAGAGAGGCCAGCGCTACGAGATGCCGGGGTGAGAGTCCCACTCAAAGGACAAGCCATGCACGAGTTTGAACTGGAAACCACGCAAAGGGGTGGAGAGTGGAAGGAACCGCCATGCTGGGTCCTTGGATTTTTTCGCTTGTTTGTTTGCCCTGCTTGATTATGTGTTATTTGTTCCACTGCAACCTGGCATTTGTTTGGAACGTTGGCGCCAACTTGGGGGATATGAAGCCAATGCTGGGCACGAAGGGCTGTCTCGGTGCAAGCAGCTCACCTCCGCGTCGCCTCCGAGCAGCGACGCCTATTTTTTTCAGAGAACTTGATGCAGCGCACCTAAGTCTGTTGCCCAGTGGTGCCCCTTTTTCCCCCTTTTTTGGGGCTAAGGGTTTCCCAACAAACAACTCTAGGGGCTGATTCCTTTTCCATTCTTTTCAGCAGTCGTGCTTTTCAAAAGCCAGCCATTTCCCCAGGGCTTTTGGTGGTTTTCTAGAAAGATCCGGATCCCTGGGTTCAGAACGGAATTGGCAGGTACCCCTAGAATTTTAAGGACCCCCTACACTAGAGCTCGGGTCCCGATTCGTGTCCGTCAAGGAATTGGAAGGTACCAATAGAAAAAAGAAGGTTGCCCCTCTTTTTCTGATGGCCACTGAGCATCTGAGCCAAAGGTCAGGCAATCCTTAGTTGCTGGTGAGCCCGGTGGTTTGGCTTCGGACTCGAAGCCCTGGCGACGAAAAGAGGCGAGGTCCCCCGGCAATTGGTGCCGGTTCTTTTACCGTTTCGTTTTTTGGGGGAGGTTTTTTTTTTTTAAGACTATATAAAAAAAGTTGGTAATTACCCTTCTTCTAACCTCTCAAATCTGGAGGACCTAGGAGGGTAAATGGGAACACACACACACACACCAACCTGCAAACCACCAATCAGAGGAAAGCTGAACATGTGAGCTATTTGCCGACAAATTATAGCTGCATGGCGAGGACACCTCCCATGCCATGGTTTCATTTGGGCTTCCGACAAAAGCAGGAGACCAACTCAAGGATACGTGAGTCTTATGTTTCTTGCTTTCTGCACGTAGGGGAAGCTCCAAAACATGTTGTTTTCTTCATTTGGCAGTGGGAACGGGTTTGGGGACATGTGTGGACATGAGTCCCTGTATGGTGTCCAAGCAAGGGCCGGCTATTAAATTCACACCCATTTCATGCTTGGTTGCGGTTTGGAATTTCCGCTCATCCCCAGATTCACCTCATGCCTAGCCTGATTTGGGGCTCACCGAATTCGATTTCCGCAGGCTCGGATGCAGAAACCTGTGCAGACGGGTGAGACGTACACGGCCAAGGCCTGGCATTTTTTCAGGGGGATATCCATGGAAAGTTGGCCAACAAAAAGACCGCCATCCCTTTATCACCCCGACTCTTTTCTCCTGGAAACAGGGGTTGGGTGATAGACACTCTTTTTCTTCATGACCAGTGGGGGTCGGGAATAGTTTCAAGCGCAAGCTCGAGTCAAGCTGCGCAAGTTGACTTCGCAAGACATTCGACGTGTTGGAGCTTGGCACGTTGAAGGAAAACCAGGAGGAAAAACACGTGTTGGGGGTCCTCCCTATATTGGGGACAAGCCCGAGATAGAGATGACGGGACTAAAATGGAATTCGGGCACCCTCCCGGGTGGATTTTTCTGGGGTGCGTTTGAGCTGGCGAGGCCCAGATTTGCGCGCAGATGCCACAGGCGCGGGGGCCAACATGGTTTACACAATCTCCTATAGGTATCATCCACACATTTGAAAAGTTATGAGCGCCATTGTGGATGATACCCTTGTTACAGGTATCTCCTACAGGAATTTCCTACAGGCGTATCCGAAAACGGCCAACAATTATAGGTATCTCCTACAGGTATTCGCCCGCTGTCCGGTGATACCCTAGTCAAATCTTTCGATTCATAGGTTTCAGCCAGCTTGAAGAGCTCGGGCAACACCAATAGCACTTGGATTGTCAGAACCTGCTTAACATGGAACATCAAACTCGAGTATCATGAATACCATGTTCCAACCATCCGGTTCCTCTGCTTTTTTTTCTCGGTTGTTTATAGGTGGGTTTAGTGGCAGTTTCCATTGGGCCCGCAGACAAAACCTCAGGTTGTTTCGTTGTTTTTCTGTGGTTTCAATTCTGGCAGGGGATCAGTTTGGACAGCCACGAGTTCCATGAGTACCTGAGTGCACGGCGAATTGTCTGCCATTGGCCTGAAGGAATCGCCATCGCGGATCGCCGCTGAGTTCAGTGGGCCGTGGATGTTGCGCGCAGGCTACGGTTGGAACGTGTACTGATCTTATATGGGTGTGGCTCAAAATTAAACAGGAGGGGTTGCGCAGGTTTTGGTCCATTTTTCCACTTACCAGGATTGATGTTGGTACCGGTTTTTTGAGCTACAGCCTTTTTTTTGGGTACCCTCTGTTTGTTGGTTTGAAAGGAACACCAAAAGGAAATCCACCATATTCTGGGTCCCGTAACAACAAGACAACCCCGTATCTTTGCCCTTCACCGAAACACAGTTGTTGAGTGGCCCCCTCCATCCCCCACCAAGCATGGACGCACAAAAGGGTCTTCCCCTCCCCTCCGCACCAGGAACCTGTGACCCGCAGCATGCCAGCCGAGGAGAGGGGGTCTTTTGGGTCCTTTTGGGGTTGTCAGGGTGTCAGATTTGCGACCGCTTCACAAACATAGGTGTCCTTTTTGCTTGATTCGGTTCAAAAATAGAGGGCGATTCCAGGTTTACCTGGTGGTTCAATCAACTACCAGGGCCACCTATTTTCAACCAAAAAGGACACCTATGGGCTCAAAGCTGTTGATTCATTTCTTGATGGTTCCCAGCAGTCTGGCTCCTTTGGTTTTTGGGTTTTAGTGGGGTTTAGTGGTGGTTATGTGACTTTTAGCAGGGGATTTGAAAACAGCCCATATTTGTTTTGGGCGTATCATGCGGACTGTTTCTAGCGATTGTCAAAGTCAGGAAATGTGCTTGGTTCCCTGCAACCTGCCACTTCGGGGTTGACTTTGATCATAGCAAGAATTGAGAATGGGACCGTTCAAAGACATGCTAGTTGTAGCCAAGGTTCCAAAAGGTGATCACCTTTTACTGGATCCTTGCAGGACAACTGAGAGCCTAGTGCCACCTGAGGGGAAACCTGCTTTGCGCCAAAAATATGGTTTCTTCAGAAAAAGTGGCACGGACTAGCACAAATGTGAGCGGTGAGACTCACTGGACGAAACACGGGCAAGCTTTAGCACCTTTGAGCATTTCCCCTTTACTGACTTTTTTATACTTGGGCCCAATCAACAGGATTATTTTGATATCTTTGCCCAAATCCTCTCCAGCACTGCTCATTCTTTAGAGTGTTTCTTAAAATGAGGGCGGCTTTTTGGTGTCCTGTTCAACGGCGGCACCGCAACGCGTCCACTCACCGCAGCCACCTGTCAAAGACATCGGGGTCTATGAGACCGGGCACGCGATCATCCGGGTGCTGGGGCCCCGCAGCCTTCGCTCGAGAGCAGCTTCCGCCACAACTCCGACACTCTCTCTTCGGTGCATTTTGCCAAGGGATGTTAGGACTTTAACTTTTTGCCAACTAATGGGTTCTCCGAATTGAACCACGAAAAGAAAAATACATAAATAAAACAAATACAAACAACAAAAACAACAACAAAAAAAGCAACTTTTAGCAGGAGCAGAAAGCAACCGGGCTCTGGCGTGGTGTTCATCGCGGCGCTTACGATTGAAACCCTATTCCAGTGGCGTCCCACTGAGTCTGGGTACACGTCTCGGACTGGCATATGAGGTGGCCCCCATGGAGGTTTGTTTCTGCTCCGACCATCACAGCAGGTGTTGCAGTGTCTGTGCGAAGCTGAATGATTAGGTGTCGCGTTTCCTCTTGGTGATGTTTCAGGGTTGTGGAATCACTCGAGCTTTATGCCCACTTCTGTGATACAAGGGAATCTCCCCCTTTATATTGGGGGGGGGGGGGGGCGGTTTTCTTTGGGAAGCACTTTCAATTGTATCAGCGAAATGGTCATTTCCCACAGCCCTGTGATGTTTAACTGAACATACAATATGAGCATGTCTTTATTTTGGAAGCTCCTTTTTAGGGTGTGTGTTTAGCACCAAACAGAGGCGAACCTTGCTTTGTGCGTTGGTTTGCTGTTTGTAGCCAAACCCAAGTTTCTCTTTCTGGGAGGTTTCACTCGAGTTTTCCTTTGACTGGTTCCATGTTCGGGTGGGACGAATGGTGGATATGATATGCTCAGGGCGAACCCTTGTGGGTCATCTCAAGCAGTACTGTTGGGGTTTCAATGCAATCAGTTTCCTTTTGGTGATGTTCAAGGCGGATTTTTTGTTCTTGTTTCGGGCAGGGTCGTTGTTAGAAACCAAAAAACAAACACTAGGTCCCCCAGCAGTGCCCTTTCACCCTTTTTCGGGGGAGGGTTCCCGACACTCAAATAGACTATACAGAAAAAAGTTGGTACCCTTATTCTAACCTCTCTACTGGAGGACTTGGAAGAGAAATCACCCAGTGTTCCCTATTGGAAGCAAGCCCATCGTACACTTTGCGGCAAAATGGGACATGTTCCTGGCTGTGCAGCCAGGACCTTGAAGCGCGTGGAGAAGTTCTGTGTGTGGAGGACGTGACATCATTGGGTTGCTGCCTTGGATTTTTCGAGACCCCGCCAAAAAGACTGGGTGTAAGTTGACTGAATTTCTTCGAGGGTATTTTTGGCAATGTAGTGTTGAGAAAGGTGCAATTATTGGCAATGTTGGGTATTTTTTGGCAATGGTACATTTCAAAATCGTGTTGAGAAGCAATAAACCGCAATTGCATGCAGTTCAGCCGACGATTTGCCTGTCTCCACCATGCCACGATCGCACATTGCTATTTGGACATGCGAGGAGACCGGTGGATCGGACAACATGGCAGCAGCTCGGCCCAACTGTTCGACCACATTGCTAGAAATGTTGTTTGAAATGGGTGTGGCTTTCTTTTTAAAACTACAAAAAGGGTACCCTTGAAGCAAAAACACAGCCAAATCATTGGTTGCCAGACATATCGCATCGCGGGGAGGCGCGGTCATTTATGACAATCGGAATGTTCTCGACATGATTGGTTCGTCTTGGCATCCGCAAGACCATCCAAAGGCGCTGTGATTTGAATATGTGTCAAAGTAGGGCGACCCTCGCAGCACTGGTTTTCCTCTTTGGTTTCCATGAAAGCAACCGAACAAAGGGCACACGAAAAAAGGGTCTTGGAAATCCTGGCACATACCCTTACTCACTCCATCGCTCGCAGGCAGCTCCCGGGGAGCCTATTTCGAAAATGGAAAACCTTTGGATTTACCTCAGTTGGCAAAGCCAGAGTACCCACTATGTCCCCCAGCTAGGTGCCCCTTTACCGATTTTTTTTGGGGAGGGTTCCCCTACTAAAATAGACTACAGAAGAAAGTTGGCACCCTTATTCTATCCTCTCTACTGGAGACCTAGCCTAAGAACGACCCCTTGCTACCCCCCAAAAAACCATCTTCAGGTACCAAAAGACCGATTTGGCAAAGCTGAAGCTTTTTGTACGGAGTCTTCAAGAGTTTCATCAGATCAAAGTGTCCCTGAGGATGTACTAAGGCGGCTAGGGGTTCCTTCAAACTTCCAAGGGTTGCCGAGGGTTGGCGGTGGCTCGAGGGCGTCCCTTGCGGCTGGTCATGTTGCCAATTTGAATCCAGTTTCGTACTGCAAACAGGAAAAACTGGTCTTCAATCTCAAAGCTCGGGTATTGTCCACCCTGCTTTTCTTCAGGGTTTGGGTGCTCCAATGCACGCTGATGACCCAGCACCATAGAAAAGTCACAAACGGTTCAATGGCTAGGAAAGTGCAGTCCTTGCTATAAAGCGGACACGGTCTGAGACTCCCCTTTCCAAGAGGTATTTCTCTCAGGAGGGGTTCATGTGTTGTGCGTACATGGCGCCAACGTGCTACCGCGCACTTGGAAATTGCAAGCGTGCAGCGGAGGACGCTTCATGCGCTTTGGGAAATATGGTTGTCCCCACCACCTGGAGCTTCCTGTGCATAGGCGCCAAGCCAAAAAGGCCCCTATGTGGTTTTGGCAGCAGAATGGTGTTTTCCCAAGAAAAGCGCTAAGCTGGCTCAGAGATCCTATTGAATGGTTTGAGGTTTCCCGGGAACCCACTGCAGAGGGCAATGTCCAAAGATTGGGTTGGCCCATCATCACGTCCTTTCAAGCTTCTACCTGGACTTTGAAGCTGCCCATACAGAAAGCGGAGTTCACCAGCCACCATTTTGGGTTGCAAGGACAGTGCAATAGCTTTAAGTTGGACATTTAAAGGTCCAGGTAGCTTTCTTGCTGGTGCTCAGTAGGGAATGAGGGAATGAAGGAACGAACCTCAGTTGAGGCAGCCGACAGTTGTTTTTTTTGTTTTTCCTGTTTTTGCGGGGTCATTCCAATTCTCATTTAGACCATGGTTCAAAACCAATGGTACCATGTTGGGATAGGTGCACCACCCATTTTAGAACCTATTTTTGTGGGGATTGGGATCTTCACTGGGGGTACGATTTGGGGTTTTGAAAAGCCCATGGCCATGTGTGGCTCAAAAATGGGGGTCCTAAAATGGTTTTGCCACCAAAAAAATGGGGTGGATGAACATCCATTTATCTATGTTGATTTTCACCAGGGGTACAGGGCTTTGAACACTTTTTTGGCCATTTGCCTCTCGGTCCACAGATGTCTCGCTGGTTCCCGCGAGCCGAGTGCCAGGCGCCGCCTGCGCCATCCCAGGCACCGCCGGCGGTGCCGCCGGAAGAGGAGACCGCCAGATGCCAGGCGGAGGCGCGAGGCATTTCACCCCCGTAGTTTCCGAAGCCTTTTTAAAAGTCCTTTTTCTCGTCATGGCCCAAGAGGTGAAATTGTTTTCCAGTTCCTTTGCAGAGGTGTCCTTTTTGGTCGATTTGGTTGAAATATAGGTCGGGCGATTCCTGGTTTACGTGGTGGTTCAATCAACTAACCCATCTATTTTCAACCAAAAAGGACACCTATGCATTGGGGGGGGGGGGGGTGGTTTTGGCCCTCCAAAAGCGGTGATTCCCCACATTTCACCCAGGGACACCCCATGAATAAACTGGGGTTGATTCATGTCTTGGTCCCGACCAGCTAGGTGCCAACTTTTACCCTTTCTTTTTTGGTTGGGAGGGTTCCACTGAAATAGACGTCCTGAAAAAAGTTGGCACCAACTTATTCTAACCTCTCAATTCTGGAGGAGCTAGGTAAACCCTGAATCGCCCCAACGGTGTTGTTGTTTTGTTCTACCCACGGGCGGGTACAACCACCCAACGAGTAAAGGGGTGGGGTGGGGAGCAGGGTACGAGGGTGTGTTGTTTTCGTTTTTGTTTTTTCTGCCAAGAGGGGAACAGCACGGCTCACTCCATTTCCTCTTTTCGGGCCTGCAAAAGTGGCAGTTTGAATGGGCAATATCAGCCAATTGCAATCCAGTGACCGCTGTCTACCAGGAGCGCACCACCCAAGGAGTAAGGGGGGCGGGAACACTTGGTTAGTTTCTACCCATGGGCCAAACGGCCTTTCAAACACCCACCAATTCAATCCAACTAGACGGAGCTGGCAAGGGATCTGACCTTGGCACATGGCACCCTTGTTTGGTGTGACTTCACAAAATATGTGTTTGTCTTTGTGTTCTCCCCGAAAAGGAGGTGCCTGTTTGTACCGGGGCGCGACGTCACCTCAAGAAGAGGTTCATCGAATCACTGGTTTCCCGCTTGAAGGGGCGGGTCTGTCTAGGATGGGACAAATAGATCCAGATGGCCCCTTTGTTGGGATGGTTTCAAAGGGAAACAGAAGGAACACCAGTTTTTGGTTGATATCCTGTACAGTGGAAGCCCTAAATATTGCAAGTTCCGCCACGTGGGATGTGGACACTGATTCTCTGGCACTGCTCACTGCGAACTCCCGTCCCCCAGCTACAATGTTGAGTCCCAGCGCTTAACCCCTTTTTCCAGGCCCAACATATTGCAAGAGTGGGGGCTGCAGATGTCATGTCATAGTGCTTCTTTTAGTAGACCGTGCAATCTGTCTGTTTGCTTCGCACTTGCAACATTTAGGGCTTCGACCGTACGGGGTGCTGCTTCATTCCCCTCTATCCCCCCGAAAATTGATCAAGCTAAGTGTGTGTGTGTGAAAGATAGAATTTTGCCAACTTGTTTATCTAAATGGGGATGTTGAGGTGACAGACAAGGCGAGTCAGGGCTAGCTTTTTTGGCTTCTTGTGCCAAATTCCCTACCAATTATATGAACTTAAGTTGCATCAGCATACACAGCATGTCCCCCCCAGTATATTTGGGCATCCACACAAACGCTCCTCCCGGGGTACCTGGGAATCTTTACGTTTAGTGTTGTTTAGTGTTGGCCATTGAGCAGTTGCTATTGGGCAGTTGTTTCGGGGCTTTGCACTCATCAGATTTGGTCTTTGCTTCTGCCAAAATGTTCACTGTTAGAACAGAATTGGTTGTTCAAAGATCATGCTAAACATACTAGCTGATTTTTCATGATCTTTCGCCCCCGCCCAAACATTTTTCACTTATTCTCCAAACTTCCAAAGACCATTGTTCAATTGGCTTTTTTCCCGGTTACCTGCTCCAAAGGTTAGACTCTTTCCCCCATTTTGCAAACTTCCAACATTGCTCAAACATGTCTCAAACACGTCTCCAGCATTTCTCAAACATGTCTCAAACATTTCTTAAACTTGTTAGTTCTCTTCAAACTCCTAAACATGTTTCTTGCATTTCGCTGAATCCACGTTGACCCCATCCACGGATCAGGCGCCGCCGGCGCCGCCCTCTTCAGCGCCGGCGGACGAGGAAATCGCCCGATGGCGGCAGGCGGAGGCACGATCCCATCATCCCATCGGTGTTGTTGTTTTGTTCTACGGGCGGGCACAACAACCCGTGGAGGAAAAGGGGGGCGGAAGTGGGGGCAGGGGGTACGAAGGGTAGTACTCGCCCAAAAGGTGTTTCTTGGTTGGGACATCCGGTTCCTTATAGCTTTTTGGATCTTTTGGTGTTTAGTGTTTGGGTCTCCGATTTTGACCCACTCAAAGTTCGTCATTTCTAGCGGGGGATTTGAGGACATCCCAGGTTTTTGTGTGATTTTCCTGCTAAAGGGTAAACAAGGCTTTTTCAAGGGAGCTGAAAAACGGACCTTCTTGTTTGGTGGCTTTCGTTTTCACAGGACCGGAGAGGGTTCCCTTTTGCTACCGGAGTGACTGGGCAACTGGTTCAAACACACCTTGACAAGATATTTTCTAGATCGAATCACTGGGTGTGCCAGTTTGTTTTGATTTTGGGAGGTCCGTGAGGAAATCTCATGGGACATAGAAGATATTGCTCCTGCTTACCCACAATGTTTGAAGCCTTCAACATGTCATGAAGCATGTTGGAGACAATCGCTATGATCCCGCAGGAGTTGGTTGCCTATCCCCTTCATCCATCCCCTCCATGAGGTCAAACAGGACCTTGCGCCCGACCAAACGAGGTGTTAAAGCAAGCACTTCTTTCGGGCATAGTCACAACACGTCCGGGGTTTCGGTTTTGCGACGTCACCTATGAAGATTATTTTCGTAAGGCACCCTTAGTCCCAGTCTGGAAATTCTTGCAATTGGCCCCGAGTAATTGTCCCAACCAACGTGTTTTTTCGACGCTTGGGCATGGGAACCAGCAGTTGGGGGGGCGGGTGCTGGTCGCTCATTTTTCTGTGTGCTTTCTTTGTCGCTTGAAATATCAACCAAAACTGGGTTCCCGGTTTTGAGAAACACCCACATCCCTTCATAGACTCGACCCAAAAGGTTCCTGGAGTCTCCATAACCCTTGACAACTGGGTTCATGACCCCTTTCTTTTGGGTTTTGACCCCATTTTCTCAGGGGTCAGAAGGGGTGTTGACTCCAGGTGCTAAGCCTCCTTTAAAAGACCACGAAAACGCCCAGCTTCCTTTGGGCGTTTGGCCCGCGTTTTGTTTTTTTTCCGTCGGACCTGCGGTGCCGTCGTTAGGCGGAGGCCGCCGCGCTGCTGGCGGAGGCGAGAGAAGCGCAGGCCGAGAGCGATTTCCAGTCGGACGACGTGGGTTGCTTTTTTTGCAGGCTTCGTTGGACATAGATGGCTGTGGCTCAAAAAACCGGTACCAAAATGGAACCCTGGTAAGTGGAAACATAAACCAAAACCTGCGTAACCCCTCCTGTTTAATTTTGAGCCACACCCAGATGGGTTCCACTGGTGTTTGTTCCATTTAGGGCCATCCATGTTTCCAAAAGGACAGCTATGTTTGTGCCCTGGGGGGGAAAAGGCTTCTAAAACAAAGGCCGTTACACGAACATCCCTTGTTTGACTGGGGGGGGGATGGGGGCCTGGGTGGAGTTCAAACTTTACATCGTCAGCAACAAGCCTTTTCCACACTAAGCTAGACATGCGAAGGCCTCAACGTTAAAGCAGCACATTTCTGCATCATCAATGAACAATCGTGGTCTTCCCGAAACATCCATTCAGCAGGACCTTGTCATACAGCAGCAAACAACGCCAGCCAGGACGAATGTGAGTTGTTTTTCGCCTGCCAAATTTTACGGCGTTTCACCGTCTTTCACTGCAAAAAAAGGCGTTCACGCCAATTTCACATTGTGTTTTTTACGCTTTTCCTTGGTCGATTTCCCATTGCTGAGCCCATGATCAATATTCCTAGCAATCCCATAAAGTCGAAGACCTGGAGCATTGAACAGCTTCAACATGTCTACATGGTTTTCTCGAGGCCTTGGAAAGCGTACGTTTCAGCCACAAGTACTACAAAGCCATGTGGGTACTAATGCGGCCAAAAAACGGTCAACCCAATTAAAAGCATCCAGCTTGCAGACAAAGAACGTTTCCCACATTTCACGACCGCTTCCTAAAGGCCTTTCTTTTCAAGGCCCCCGAACCCCAGGGTGAGGGCGTGTCTTTTCTTGAAGAAAAAACACATGGAACACTTGTTTTGTGCGGGAGGGTCCGAACAAGTCGCGTTTTCTTTTGAGGTTTTCAAGAAAAGGCAAATGGAAGACCACAGGCAGGGCCCAGAGGCCCTTGTGGTTTTTGGAGGCTAGCCCCAGGAGCCCCCCCCCCCCCACCACGGCTTTCAAGTGTACTTAGTACTCATTGGGTGTTGCTATGGGTGTGTGTGTTTTTTTTTTTTTTTTTTTTTTTTTTTTTCCGGAAGGTAGCTCCTTTTTGGGTGGTTTGAGAGAGAGTACCCCAACAAACACTGCATGTTTAGAGGTGTTGATTTGCAGGGTCCCCTGTTTTGGGAACCCGTATATCATTTGCGGGTGTGAGCCCCTGGTTCTCGTAGACGGTAAGTGGAAACCACCCCAACACCTTGAAACCACCGATCCAGACCACCGATTAGAAAGAGCTGACATTGGCCCCATTTCTTGAACCACCAACTATCGGGTTCTCACGTGTTTGCCTTTGAGCGGAATTCCTGGTTGTTGAGCCCCAAAGGGTGCGGCTTTTTGTTAACATTTTCAAAAAGGGGGTTGTGTCCAAATCAGATGCCTACTTTTTGACCCCCGAAAAGAGCGGACATTGACGCCTGAAAGAAAAGGCTCTCATTTTGTTGACCCCCTCACCCATAAAAATCGGAATTCACCAGCCATAACTTGCCGGGTTGCAAGAACCCCATTCTAAAGTTGGAATTTGGAGGGTCCAGGTAGCTTTCTTGGTGCGATAGATAGGAAATGAGTTGGCCACCAGTTTTTTTTTGTTTTTTTTTTTTTTTTTAAAGGGTCCCTTTGTTTCCACTAACCAGGCAAACAATATATTTTTTTGCTCGGGTCCTAGTTCCAGCCTAGTTTTTGCGGGCTTCGCACGGAGCGATTTTTTGGCCAAGAGCCCTTAGGCGCTGGCAAGGGCTGAGGAGGAGCGCGCCCAAAAGGCCAAGTTGGAGGCCGCGCGCGCGCAGGCGGGAAGGGGGGGGGGGAAGGGAGATACAATCTGCAGATGTTTTCACAGGTGCATTTTGCCAAGGGATGTTAGGACTGAACAACTTTTTGCCAACTAATGGGTTTCCCATTAAACCACTAAAAGTTAAACTTTTAGCAGCGCAGCGGAGCAGGAAGCAACCGAGTTTTGGTTTTCGGAGCTCAGCGATTCGGGGCCAAAACTCCGTTGATTGGGGATCCAAGTCTTATTCCAGGGGATTTTGTGGTAAGATTTGCCGAGTGCGACAAAAACAGCGCGTAGACGACCGTGTCAGATTCCATCATGTTCGATGACTTCATGCGTGGACTCTCCAGCTTTGTCCTTTTCGCGTACGGTCCTACTTTTTTTGGCGGTTTCTTCCCTTTTCTGGGCGTTTTGTTTGCCAAATAAGCACACCCCGCAGCGCCAAATGACAAGCGCACCCCTTGCTCCTGAAATGGAGATATGGGATGTATAGGCCCCCGATCCGTGCTTCCTTTGGCTTAAGATGATTTTGCACCTGTTGGTTCTAACGGGAATTTATCACTGTCTATTTTTTCCATGGGGCTCAAGCAAACGGAGGATAGCAACCACTGCTTGGAATCCTACAGGGGGCGTTTTGGACATGGAAAAGCAGTTGCCCATTACTCACCCAGCACCCCCAACGATTGCTTTTTGGCTACTGTACGACTCAATCTGCACTAGCTTGGGTTTTTCGAAGCTTCAGGTGGGATTTTAGCAACCGCCTCAGTTTGGTTGGAATTGGCGGGGTATAAAACTCTGAACATGTCTTTACTGGGTTTCCAACATTTGTTCTATTATAACCCAGGAAAGGCAGCCAAGAGGGTATAATCACCTTTGAAACCAACTAAATTCAGATTTGGATGCATCTGTTGTGGAGACTGCCTACAACCGGGCCTCGTCCCGAGCATGTTTGGACTGTTTTTTGAACAAGTCCCCTAAAAGAAGCCAAACAGGGCTGGACGACCATAATTTATTCAAGCAATATCTGATACGCAATATGTATCTATGTGAACATACAATATATGCATATACACACTCTGTGTAGTCATATGTGCCTATATATATATATTTATATATATATATATATGCGTATGCATGTGTTCTTTGTCATAATTTGGATAGACATTCTTTGCGTGATAGCGATCTAGAGCCCCTGCTTAGCACCACAACCCCGGAGTCCGAAACCGCGTCGAAAAGGCGCGGGCGAGCACGGCGCAGCGACAGCTGGAAACGCAGCGCCGCAACGAAGCGGCGCAGGCTGGGGGCTCCGGACTTCGGGAAATTCGGGGCGGCGGGGGCGAGTAGGCGGCAATTGGTTTCATTTGGGTTTCCCTTCAAAACCTACCAAACAAGTGGTATTATTTGCTTGCTGAAATGGCTGCGGATGTAAAAAATATGCAGAGTAACTCAAAAATGGGTTATCCTATGGAAACATGGACTCACATATGCTTGTGTCCCCTGGTGGTTTGATTTTCACATATATACCCAAAATAAAATTTGCTTAGCTTCCCCCATTGGTTTCACAGGGAGTCGATCACTGGACATATTTTTTGTTGTTTTCCGGGGAAAGCACATGGAGGCTAGGGATTGTATCGGGCCTGACATCAGGTGCCTCAGTCAACAGGTTTTTTCACTTGACCTTCAGTCGGCCCCTTGTGACCCGACGCATGTCAAAACTGACTCCTTTTGGAGCCGAGTGGATGTGTCCTTTCTGTCGGAGTCAATGTGCAAAAAGGGTCTGCACACCACCAAAGTCACCCCGAAATAGGTAAAAAAGAAGCACCGAACAACAGTTGCTGACTTTGAGAACCACCAAGTTTGATTTGAAATTTGGGTGTGCCATTTTTGAGGGGACCCCAAAATGGAAGTTTTCCTATCGGCTTTCCTTTCAAACCAACCAACAAGGGGTATCCTCAAAAGAAAGACACACCCATTTGACTTTAGTCTTTGGTTGCTCCAAAGACTAGGGACTCAATGGGCTTCTCCGCAGTCAGCTCAGCCTTGAACAGCTTCATCACCCTTTTGAAGAGGTCCGGAAGACTGCATGTTCAAACACAACTGCGAGCTGAAGGTATCTCGACTTCACATGTTGCGCAGATGTCTTTGTTCAGGACCGCTGTCGCTACTAAAATCGGTTCAGCCGAATCTCAGGAGCGATTTATCAAGACAAGAAACACAATGACATTCTAATTTGATTTGTAAGCCCACTAGAAGGGTGTGTCTTGTTTGAGGGCGCGCATTTGTTTGAAAAGTCAAAAGGATGGAACACACGCATCTATGACCACTGCACCGTAGAAGGGGTCAAGCGTTGAATCCAATTTCTAATGCATGTTATTGTCCGAATGGCTCCGAACTATCCCATGTCATGTAGGTTTTTAAAGGCCAAGCCATGGAATATGTCCTCGTTTTGTCGAGGGTAGCACTTGGGACATTCACCTTCCAAGACCTGCAGGAGGAACATGGGCTGGACTAGTTGTGTGTTGTGAGTTTGCCCTATGCTCCCTTTTCGGGGAGCACCTCCTTGATTCGGTACGTTCTTTGGCTACTGCACCTTACAGCTTTGTTTTCTATCCATGGAATGCCGGCGACACCTATGTAAAGCTTGTGTTGCTGGGGGTTCCGGTATTTCCAGTTTCAACTGTGGCCATGGACGGTATATGTTGCGCGACTGGGGCCATGGCCCTCCTCGATCCGCGGATCGCTTCGAGGCGGATCGCGCGCGACAAGAGCAGTGGGAACGCGAGCGCTGCCACTCTGCAGAGCAAGAAGAGAGAGAGAGAGAGAGAGAGAGTGAGAGAGAAAGAAAGAAAGAAAGAAAGCAATAAAGAAAGAAACAAATAAAGAAAGAAAGAAAGAAAGAAAGAAAGAGAGCGAGAAAGAGCGAGAGATAAAGAGAGAGAGAGAGAGAGCGAGAGCGAGAGAGTGTGTGTGTGTAAGTGATATACTTCCATTCAAGTCAACAGTATGTTATTTTCCCTGTTGGTTTTAAAAGGAATCTATCACTAGTGGACATGTTTTCATTTCTTCCAGGGAAAAGCGTGCGCGTGTTTTTGTGTTTTCTGGACCACATTGGGGTTCAGCAGGTCCAGAGGATGGCCCAAGGTCTTACCCCCAGTCACATCCTAGGTCCCCCAGTAGTGCCCTTTTACCGTTTCTTTTTTGGGGTAGGGTTCCCCTACTAAAATAGACTACAGCAAAACAGTTGGTACCCTTATTCTAACCTCTCTACTGGACCTAGCATCGGTGTTTTCTGTTTTGCTTAGGGGGACCTGGTGTTTCCCGCTTCCTTTACAACCACCAAAACAAAGGTGTACCATCAAAAGAAGACAAGCCCGTTTCATTTCGGGTGAGACGGTAAGTTACGTGAATTCGCTATGTGGGTGTTGGGATCGAGAAAATTACCCGGACTTCGCAGGGATTCGATTCCCTGAAGCAGTTCAAATTCACGGTTTAGACCAGGGTTTTGAAGTAGAGGTTGAGTTTTCTGGGACAAATCAAGGAAGCCCTGCTTCTGGACTTCTGGATTTGGCTTGTTCTGTTTGGATCATATGAGTTGGTGCAGATTCCCTTTCAGCGAAGCAGCGTTAACACGATTTGAGCACGTGGGGTCATTGGCGACGGGCGGCGTGGGATGGTGCTCTTGTCACCAAAGTGGTCAAGGGCAATCGCTAAGGACACTAATAGTACGAAAGATGACTATGGGCATGATGTCTCAAACTTTAGGGGTGGTAGTCCCGTGGCAACAGTCATCATTCATGGACTGCTGTAGTCAAGCGGATGACGCAAATAATTTGGATAAACGATTTGCCCATGTATCGCCATGAGTGAAGCTTCTATGTGGGTATGTGACCAAGTGAATGTTTCAAAGCCTTGGTTGGCACGCGATATGAAACAAATGCCGAGATGAAACGGTTGAGGTTTAATTAGTCTGTTAGAACTCCTTCAGCATCCGCAAGGTGTCCTTCAGCATCCTCAAGGTGTGCTCCCCATATCTCCAGTGTCTTCCCTGTCTCGGTCCCCCAGTAGTGCCATTTTACCTTTTTTTGGGGGAGGGTTCCCCTACTAAAATAGACTACAGAAAAAGGGGAACCCTTATTCTATCCTCTCTACTGGAGGACCCAGCTGTTTGTTTGGATCCACCTCTTGTTCAAGGGCATGGAGGCCTGCAAAGCAGCAATACTTGTATATTTGTTTTTATTTTTTTCAAAGTGGTACGTAGTACGTAGCCTCCATACAGTTGATGGGTGCGAAATCCTCCGTTCACACCACCAAATGAAACCATGGTTGACCCCAGTTGGTTGGCATTTAGAGGGGAATCGAATCATTTGCTTGGGTTTCCGAAAGGTGGTGCGAACTGATTTCGCAACCATCCACAGTCCTGTTGACCTCATATTAATCAACCACAGTTTGCTACTAGGGGGGTGTTCCCCTCCAAAAGTGGTGATTTCCCACATTTCACCCAGGGACACCCCATTACAGTAATCAACTGGGGTTGATTCATATGGGCTCAACATTCCTCCCCAAAAGCCACATCTGAATGGGACAGGGTGAATTATAACGACCTCACACGACTGAATTCACTCCAAATGGTGGTTTATGTGGGGAATATTCCTCCAACCACCTTATTTCAGGCTGGTGAAATATTATTCACCCAGATGGCACGACCTTCGAGCCTCCGATCTGAGGCGAGGCCTACCTTCAGCAGGTCCGGTGGCGCGTGGAGGCTAAGGCCCTACAGGTGGAGGAAGAAGTCTTTGCACAGGCGAGACGGGGTCCCCAAAGCCGGAAGCCGCTGGGAGCCGCTGGGAGCCGCTGTCTTTTGGGCTCATTTCCCCCAGGTCCTGACTTTGTACAATTTTGGGACTCACATTTTCTAATTCCCCCAGTAGTGCCCTTGTACCCTTTTTTTGGGGGAGACGACAGAAAGAAGAAACGGTACCCTTATTCTATCCTCTCCACTGGAGGACCTAGACATTTTAGTGGCAACCAAGAAGTTTAGACTTTTTGTTGGCCCTTCCGAAGCCCTGATGGGCCGGATTTTGCGGAATGAGTCGCCGCGAATTCAGATGCGTTCCCCTATTTCCCAATTTGGTGGTTTAAACATCAGTTTCCTTTGGTACTAGTAGGGGTGATGTTTCAAGGAGCTCTGTTTTTGGCAGGGTGCCCTTTTGCAAGTGGTTTAGATGGGGACCACAACAAAAACACAATTTTGACGGTCCCCTGAAAAAAAGACACCCAAATAGGGATCCCCCAAAGTGGCCAGCATCATTGCCTTTTGGACGGTACTTGTTTTTGTTTGAACCTTTAGTTGCTGGGTTGCTTCCCCAAGGCCTTCGGCATCGGCTTCTAGGTCCAGCAATTGGTACCGTTTCTTTTACCGTTTCTTTTTTGGGGTAGGGTTCCCCTACTAAATAGACTACAGAAGAAAGTTGGTGCCCTTATTCCAACCTCTCAAATCTGGAGGACCTAGTATAGTTAACGATAGTTTGCCTCAACTGGGTTGCTGGGTTGCCTGGTTATAGTTCCTTCGTTCCTTGCTTGGTTTCCTGGGTAACTTTGGTGCATTTTACTTGGATGTTAGGCCAACTAGTGGGTTTTCCATCCACCGTTGGTTTGTCAAGACCAAGCAGTTTTTCCTCAGCGGGTTACTAGGGAGCAGAAAGCAACCCAGGTAAGCTGTCGCTTGGTCCAAACAGCCCCAAAGCTTTTCCTGGGTGGGCCTGGGCAAGCCGTCGCATCCGTCTCCCGACGCTTCGCTAGGCCAGAGTGGAGCTGGAGCAGCCGGACCCGCTGCAGGCCGTGGACGCCTTTCCTCCGGCCGTCAACTTCACGCGGAACAATTTGGACTCGGCCCTGGGCCGCGCCCCTTGGGCGAAAACAACAAATTCACGCAGGTGATGCGTTTTGTGGGTTTTATGTTTTTTTTTGCCGCAGATGTTTTTTAGGACTGAACCACTTCCAAAGTGGCTGGTGGACATGAATTTTCAACCTGGAAGAAGTGATGTTCACCAAAGGGTCTTTGGGTCTCCGACTCTACCCTGATTGGCGAACCACTTGCTAGCTTGGCGAATCGAACATCTAAGTAGGTGCATCCTTTTGAATTGGGTTTGTTTTCCTCCCAGAAAAAATCGGAGGTTGCCTTTGGCTTTTGTTTAAACGGAGAACCTGGCAGGTCGCCCCTTGGCCAAAACGCAAAAACAGATGAACGTCGATGGCGGTGTCGGTGCCCCTTTGATCGGAAAGCCCAAAGGAGACCAACACACACCGTTGAAAGGGTAGAATCCAAAATCGAAACCAAATTCGGGAGGGGCGGAGGGCTTCTCATAGGTTGGCCAAGGCAAACAAAAATGTCGTCAAACATATGCTGCCGCCGCCGATACTTGCTGCTTTTTAAAGGGGATTCAAAACGTGGCCCCTCAGTTTGTTTGCTTAGAAGTTGACAGATTCCACTGCTTTAGATTGGTTTGAGCCATTGACCAGGGAAATCCATCTAATTCTAAAAAAGCACACCTGTGAAAAGATGGGGTTCAAACGGGATTGATATCGAGGCACGGACGTCTCGTGAAACTTCCTGTGTGTTCATGTGTATGCAATAGCTTCTTGAGTACAATACTGTGGATGGAAGCAATCCGTTAGCACTACCAAACGAAACCATGGTTGAAATTGTTGTTTGGTATTTAGAGGGGAATCATCAGGGTTTCTGAAGGTGGTGCGAAATGAGTAGTGTGTATGCAATAGCCCTAGAGTACGATAGCTGGGAATGTTTGCTGTGTTTCCTACGGTCCGAAGACGGTCACATCGCTTTCTTGGTGTGTGCCGTCTGCAGTTTGGCTGTCGAGTGCGGCTCCAGTGCTCGCCAAGCACTTGTCGTAGAGGGTTACTCGCTCCAGGCGACACACACACACACACCCCTCCCCCCCACAATTGCTTACAATAATTTTCAAGGATCGGGTCTGTAAATACATATATCATACATCCCTTGCATAGGGGCTCTATTGTTTGCATATCGCGTGACACCTCTGGAAAGGAATGGTCACCATGGAGGTGTTCGGACCTTTGTGGCGTTCTGACGATTCAAATCTGGACGGGCGTTGGTCGCTGCAGTTCCGAGAGCAAGCCATGACGCACCAAGCCGTTCAAGCTTTACCCTCCCAACAAGCATGGAACCTGCACAAGTGTCCCCTGAAACGGACTTCTTTTTTTTGCAGGAACCCTTGTGCAGGTTCTATATATATGTTTGTTGTTGGGAGGATATCTCAATCATTGGAGAGCCACATGAGCAGCGCCTACCACGACTCCCATTTGCCCTTTTGGTAGTAGATGTGGTTCTACTACCTGGCTTTCTGGTATAGCACGGCCTATAGAAACCTTTATACACATGGTCGTAGAACCAACTGTTGGATTTTGGGCGCTGCTTTTGGCGTTGAAAAAAAAGGTCCGAGTGATTCCAGGCAAGCCACAGCGGTCAAATGGCGAAGCGCACCTGGTAGCCTTGGTTTTAAACGGTGCCCTTATTCTAACCTCTCTACTGGAGGCCCTAGATGTGTTTAATTCACTAGAGTTTAGTCACTAAAGTTAAACTTTTAGCAGGGGATCTGAGGGCCCAGAATAAACTCAGGTCTTGCGGGTTTGAACTTGCCATTGGATTGCCAGCGTCCAAAAAGGCGCGAAACGCCTGGCAGCGCTGAATTTCGAGGTCCGCGGCAAGCTGGAGGTGAATCAGCTGGCTCGCTTCGGAAGGCCCAAAAGTCGTGTTTTTTTTGGGATGTAGTTGTAGGGTGGCTACCCTGCGGGATTGAGTACCGCACGAATGTACCTTAACTAGGTCCCCCAGCAGTGTCCGTTTACCCTTTTGGGGGGAGGGTTCCCCTACTGAAATGGACTACAGAAAAAAGGGTACCCTTGTTTTAATCTCTCTACTGGAGGACCTAGTTAATCGGTGGTATGTATTAACCCTACGTTAGCATTACAGATCGATAAAATGAGCGCATGGGATCGACATCGCCACGCCCCCTTGGGGTGTCTGCAAATAGGGATCTCTTGGATGGTTTGAAGGGTAGACCAGGAGGAACCGGGGTCAACCTCATTTTGGTGATCTTCCAGAAATGGCTGTGGGTCAAAAATAGGTGCCCAAAATGGAACCCTGGTAAATGGAAACATGTAACATCTGCGGTCCCCTGGAGGTTTAATTTTGACCCATACCCAAATGTTCAAGGAAATGGGGGGTGTCAAAATAGCAAGCCCCCTGCCAGCAACCCCCAACAACTGCCGAGAATGCCATGTCCACCCCCCCCGCCTGCACGGCAACCCAAAAAGTAATGCTTGCTATGGACCCGGGTGAATCACACCATCATTTACATGGGTTGTGGCAGGTTTTAGTCCTTGTTTCCATTTACCAGGGTTCCCTTCTGGGTACCTTTGTTTGACCCACAGCCATATATATATATACATATGTATATATATATATATGTATATATATATATATATGTGTATATATATATTATGTGTATATATATATATCTACGCGAGCCAGGCCGCAAACGCCGCCGCAAGAAAGCCCGCCAGAGGCATGGGACAAATGACTCGCTCGGCCGATTGCCACGTTTTGGTTGGTCAAAGGGACGCCGAAAGGAAACCAAGCATTTTCGGGGGCCACTGTTTTGAGAAATGTCCGTTTTACGCAAGAGAAGCTTTAATTTTGGGATTCGTTGCGTATTGTAAGCGGAATGGGCTTGAGAGGGCGTTCGGCTACGACCGTTTTAGTGGTCAAAGTGTAATCAACATGGTGTGTCTTTTTGTTGGGGGTACCCTGTTTGGGCTTTGGGTTAAAGGGAAACCACTAGAAAACAACCTTTTTTTGGCTGGGGGGCACCTAGAGAAACCACCTAAAACTAACAGATCATTTCCTTACCAAAAGGGGAACCCCTGATGACTATGTTTGTTTTTGTGCTGAGACCCTTGAAAAATGGGGTCATGCCGCTTTTATGTTGGGTGATGTTGACCCCAGATGAATCAACCCCAGTTTATGAACATGGGGTGGGGGCCCTCCAATCGTGATCCGATTCACATTTCGCCCCGGGACACCACCCTATTTTAAACAGGGATTCATGAATCCGGACCTGAAAGCTACGGACCATTTCCAGGGAGTCCAATTCCTCTTTTGGGGGGGGCTGACAACCATACAACAGAAGGAGGTCCTGGAAGATCATGTTCCTTCTACAGAAACTGGGTCCCTGTTCCATGTTCCATGTCAATTAATTGGTGGGAGGGTAGCCAAATTCAAGGGGTCATGACCCCATTCTTCCTAGGTCCCCCAGTAGTGCCCTTTTACCGATTCCTTTTTGGGGAAAGGTTCCCCTCCTAAAATAGACGTCCTGAAAAAAGCTACCAACTGATTCTACCCTCTCAACTCGATTTAGTTTCAGTCACGGAGCTCTCAGGTGTCGACTGCCCAGCGGATCTCGGATCGCAGGCGCCCAAAGGCCCGGAGACCTTCGATGAGATGCTGGTGCGGATGCGGAGGAACTGGGACGCGCGCCTGCGCGCGCTGGAAGGCGGGGATCAGCGGATGTAGCTAAGCATATTTATGTGGGTTTGTATGCGACCTACGAACTAGTATATCTATGTAGATACATATTATAAACCATACATATATATATATATATATAATATGTTCACATGAACACTGTAGAATAATAAAGATGATGATGATAATAATAACAATAGGAACATATATATATATATATGTATAGGTGTAAATAATGATAACGTAGACATGTCTTGCGCGGCTTCGCACTAGAGCAGGTGAGCGGAGGCATATAGCATTGTAGTTGTGGTTCTGTTTTGCTTGTTTGGTTGTTTTGCGCCTGTCCAGGCGTTGTGATTGTCTTTTCGCTTGTTTGTGGCAGTTTGTTAGGTACTGTTTGAGAAAAGCGGTGTCATCATTCGGCATTGACGGAGCAAGGGTGCTACAGGGATAAAATCCATCATGCCCCCCTTCCACACCCCCCCCCCCAATACTGTAACTGTTTTTTTCCCGTGTCCAAATTCCCAAGTGCTGTGCAAAAAGCAGGTGTTGGGGGGTCCTGGCACTAGTCACGCCCTTTCCGAGAGGCTGTTAAACGAGGCCGGTTCGCCCATATTTAGGATGATATTTTGTCCAACCACCAGCGAAGGTTTTATCCTGAAGATGACTGTGCCACCGCTTTGGCAGGCGTGAACCTACCTCCACATGGGTCGGTTTCTTCAGAGCCCTCTCAAAAGTCAAGACTGGTGAGCAAGGCGATATGCACAGACACAGAGGCTGATGCTGTGGATCAGCTGGGAGTTGTGTTTTCATGTCGGCAACTGCACATGAGATGCCTGGCAGTTGCTTGGTGTCATAAGGACTCTTACATTCTGAGACTGCCGTTTCGCCGAATTTGGGTTGCGCCTCTCTGCCAGCTGGAAACTGCTACCAAATCCGCATTCTCTGACGTGGATGTGTGACATCAGCCCGAACCCGCTGAGCGTTCTGGGTTTGCAAGTTGTATTTTTTCAGGGAACCCCTCTTTGGGTGGCTGTACCAAAAGGACATCCACCAATTTTGGAGTGCTCATATTATGAGACCCCCAAGTGTGGCTTTGCAGGTGAAGGACAAAGCAGCACGGCTCCGGCGCGGTGTGCCTTGGAGCAAGCGAGCCAACCACATCCAACGAAATCCAGATACCCTTCCTCCCATACCATTTGTTGGGAACCTGGAAGATGAATTTCCTCTTGGGACCATGGCCAGGTGCCATGGCAGGTGGGAGGGGAACGGTTCAACAGGGTGTCCAACTAGTGACCCTTTCGCTTCTGTTGTTTCTTTGGTGTACGGCAATCCGTACTTAGGAGAACAGCTCCTGACGCGGAGAGGCAGGGTGCTTTTGGGGGCCCCGGAGCTAAGACAGCCGCAATTCTAGGGGTACCTTCCCCATTCTTTCCAGGGATCCTTCTTTCTAGACACCCTCCAGAACCCCAGAAAAAATAGATGGTGTTTGAAAAGAACGATGGCTGAAAAGAACGGGGAATCAACCCCCTAGAGCAATGTTTGTTCACTCCAGCATCTCTCAACTCTTTCTAGAGTTGCTTGGTTTCAGGTCCGACTGAGTGGAGCACCTCTTTCGAGGGAAGCACTGCATGGTACAGACAATGTGGCATGCACTCACACTAACAAAGACCAATACGCCCATCTAGTCACAGAAGCCTATACGCACACCTCAGGACTTATAGCGAGAGAGACGGATATGCAGGCTCGCAGGCACACAGAGACAGGCACATGCACTTCTTTGCACATCCTTGCTCCGGCATCATGGGCGCAGTTTGTGAAGCATAGCGGAGACGGCTGGTATGCATGTGCATTTGCTCAAGTGTGCAAATATTATATAGACATGTGTATGTACACATTATACACGTGTTGGCATATTTGCCATATGTTGATTGCCCGAAGTCTCTAGCAATGTTTGGAGAGCATGTGGTGGGTTTAGATGAGATGCTTGGTTCGGCTTTCAACTCACCACTTCCTGGCGTCATGCTTGGTATTAGTGGTTAGAAATATATATATATATATATATACATATATGTATATATATATATATATATTTGTATGTGCGGAAGTTATCCTGGAGGTAGTGGTTTCAAACACAAAGGGGTAATGGGAACGAACTAGCTGTTTTGAGTTGAAATGTTGGTATCGCATGAGTGAACCAAGCAAAGGATGAGGTGGAATCCACAAAAGGGCGAGGAACAAGCCAGGTGGTGTGGGATCCAAAGACTAGATGCACAGGGGGAACCTGCAAAAGGCGCATGCAAATACCGAGCATGTTGTAGGCACCGTCCACTCCAGCCAGAACTCCAGGTAGCATGGCCTAAGCTCATGTGGCCAATCACGGCCCATAGCCCAGGTAAAGCAAACTGCCCACAAGTCGAGGCGTGGGATTCCTTGGAGAACCATCGCCATAGGCACTAGGCCATACAAACAGAGTTTTGGCCATGGCAGATTATTCTTGCTTTTAACAAATGTGTCGAAGATGTCCGGCCAGGCAGGGGCTTTGAAGAAGCTTTCCTGTGAGAGATCTTTTCGGGCCAGGGAGCTGCAGGTCAGATTTGTTTTCTTGGTCAGAAATTGACTCTTACTAGGTCCCCCAGTAGTGCCCTTTTGCCCTTTTTTGGGGGAGGGTTCCCCTACTAAAATAGACTACAGAAAAAGGGTACCCTTATTCCAACCTCTCTACTGGAGGACCTAGCTTAGTTGACCAATGCAAATTCGTGTTTGACCGTTGAGGTTACCGTTGGTTGTTCAAGACCAAGCAGTTTTTCCTCAGCGGGTTACTGGGGGTGGTCATTCACCTTGTAGGCATTCTTAATAACCATTGAAAGGATTCCTAATGGGAGAACCATGGCCATAGGCGATAGGCCATACAAACAGAGTTTTGGCCATGGCAGATGTGTTCTTGCTTGTTAGTTCAAGTTTCCGCAGCTCTCCTGGCCTCCTTGCACACAGATGCACAGGTGGATCTTGAGAAAGGAATCGCGCACCATGTGACTGCAAAAAAAGCAGACACGGCGCCGATTTGGCTGGACTTCCATGCTAAAACAGCCATGTGGGTGTGTCTTTTTTTGGGGGGGTTCTCTTTTTGGATACAGACCCATGTGTTTTGAGCTCGTAAAGGACAACTTTACAGTGCCTTTACCTTGGTGCATTTTGCTTGGATGTTAGGACTTTAACTGTTTGCCAACTAATGGGTTTTCCATTAAACCACTAAAAGTTAAACTTTTAGCAGGGGAGCAGAAAGAAACCGAGTTTAGTCAGAGCCAAGATAGTCTGAAACAGTTTCTTGTGGTGTGGGCATTCCAATCTTGTGCACGTGCTGGTGAAGATCATGATCCATGTCACATCAATATATGGTAGCGGCCCCTTGGGATGTTCGATGCTGTGGCGGTTTCCTGTGATGCTGGTTTTCTCTACTTTGGACAGTCCAACTGAAATCTGATGTTTTCTGCAGGGCGGGGGCTCTGTGACAGATGCCCCAGCCGGTCGATCTTTGGCCACTTAAGCCGGAAGTGGGTGAAAAGCGAGGAGCACGGAGCCGCGGGGAGGCGAACCAAGCTCGAATGTCCAGTACTGTTCTGGTTTGGGGGGGAAACGTTTGGAAGCATGGGTCGGTGTTTGCAGGTGGGGTACCTTGCCCTCTTTGACAAAGGACTGGGCCACATGGTCAAATCCGTACCAAGCAACCGGGTGGATGGGCAGTATGGCTGTGCTTGTCAAATGTAGTTTGGGAACCTCAAATGGCAAGGGCTCTGGCAAATGGAAAGTGAAACGACGCAAATATGCGTTCTATACCCTGGTGTTGTTTGATTCATACCCATATGTTCCCAGGATCAAACATCGTTGTGTAGCCAGCACCCGGCCAACAGCTGCCACAAATCCCAGGTCAAAGTTCCCGCCGTGTCCAAAAAGCGGTGGTTGGGGGGCGCTGGAAAAGGGTGTTCCTTCTCCAACTTGAATGCATTTTTTGGGTTGACACCCACGAGACCCTTGTAGCAAGTGACGAGATTGTTAAGTTGTTCCCAACTGCCCTCCCCCTTGCTAACGTGGACGCTCCCAAAACCCCTTCGGAAGACTTGGTTCTGGGAGCTTTCATCTTAGTCCGAGGGAGTGTACTTCTTCGGGGTCTGAGGGTCCAACTTTAAGCACTCGGATTTATCGCATCGCGCCTATGTCGCATCGAGCCTTTGGGGTGTCGCTTCAAAGCAGGGGTTCGCTTCGGGATATGTTCCAGGGAGTGTGGTGCATCTTGTGTTTCCATGGACATGTTTGCGTTAAACATAAGGTGTTTGCTGTCTGTTGGCGTGGTTCTTCCTTTGTTTGATCGATCTAATCTTGAGGTACAGGGCCAGCAATTCGGGGGGCGGGGGCGCTTTGCCAGACACTTTTAATACTGATGTGTCATGCAGTCTTGCTGTAGGTCAAATGCTCTTCAGCCACTTGACAATGTGCCAATGTTGGTAGGTCTCGTACTCGTGTCCTCATCGTCGTGCATTGTCCGCCAATTTCCAGTGTTGCAAGTGGAGGTTTGCATTGTTCCATGATGTACCCCGTTGGCTTCCGTGATGCGATGCACTGCCTGATGTGCTGTCTTCATTTTCAATGTGACGTGACTCCCCTGACGCCCTGGTGCTTGCACCTGTACTCGCGGATGGGGTCAAAACGGGCTCCCATCAGGTGTTGCGCCGCTAGCGCTTGCTTGATACCGTGGATAGACAAAATCAATGCCACGCATCAGTTGGGATGGATGCAACCCCAACTAAAAAAGCACCTGTTGATAAAAGCCGCTGCCCAACTGTTGCGGAGTAGGTTTAACGTCCATCGCATTACTTGGCCATGGCATTCCATAAATTTCAAGTCCTGCAATCAAGGCTCCGACTACGGGCCAAAGAGCTTGAGGCGCGGCGTGGAGGATCGATCGATTTCTTTGGCATGTGGGGGCGGGGTCTTTTAAAGCCCAGAGCGTGTTGCGATTATTATTATGTTTGTTTTAGTACTTTAGAAGGTAAGGGGCGTTTTGCGCAGGGTATTGGTGAAGATCGAGCCCCCTCGGCGATTAATAGATCGACCATCTTGACTGCCCTTCATGGACGCTGACAAGAAAGACGACTTGTGGGGAAGCTGAAGCCAAAACATCCACTCTGTAATGAGTGGAAATAGGGTACCCTTCCAAGAATCATGGAAGCGAAGAGGGGACCGTTTTCAGACGGTAGTCCTTTGAAGACCTCGGGTGAGAGCTCAGCCAGCCTGCTCAACTTGCCAGCTGTGGTACAAGGATTTGGTTCTCTAGTTGATATGGGATCATGAATGGCAAACACTAAGTTTTGCAGCCCAGAAAGAAAGACAAAACCCAAATGCGATTCTTGTTGATTGGAAGTAATGGGAACAATCAAATCGAATTGGGGTTCCCCTATTTGATTTCACATGTCGTGCGAAGCATCCGCAATTTTCCCCAGACCCTCAATGACATTTTCCTTTTAAATTGGGCTTCCCTTTAGCACCCACCAAAAGGGGCACCAACTCAAAAAAAAACGAGCCAGCCACATTGCTTGTGGCTCACGTCATGCTGCCTTGCACTTTGGAGTGCTTAATCCTGGCGCATGGCTCCGAGATGTTTCACGTGAGCCGCACTGCTAGGTGTGGCAGAAGGCTCAGTCGGGCACCCCAGGCTGCGGAATCCACCGGATCCGACCCTTTTGGTTTCCCCATCTTGGTCTTCCATTTGCTCAAGCTGTTTTCTTGGTGTGTTTCACGGGAAACTCTCACTGGAAATCTTGTTTTACTTTTGCAGGGGGCGTATTTCGCACATGGAAGTGGTCCATTCGTCATGGCCCCATGTCACCTTTTCTCCCCGGGTCCTTCGGGCAAGTTGGACATCGCCAAGGGCCAATGGAACGTGATGCGCAGCTTTTTCAAAGCCACCGCCCAGGTGTTCAAGGTGAGTTTCCAGGCATCACAACCCCTTTAGCCCCGGAAAAAGGCTGGGGGGGTGACCCCCTGGAAATGTCTCTTTCTTTCCTTATGGGAGGGGAGGTGGTGGACATCTTGTTTTTCGTTTTCTCCCGGCCAGGAAGTATGACGTCAAGTACACCTTGCCTGCTTCCATTTGGTTAAGAATAATTGTTTATTTTCCCCTGTTGGTTTTCAAGGGAATCCATCACTACTGGAAGTATTGTTATTTTTCCCAGGGGACTTAAGCAAATGGAGGCTTGGCTTGGCTTGGTTTGGGACTTTGAGCCCTGGTTTTTGCGCGTGGGTGGGAAGCCTAACTTCCCAACCGGGCTCCAAACCAGGCGGCAGCTGATATGGGGTACCCGGAGCGTACGTATGGAGGTCCTTTCTTGGGTATCAGTCTCTAAACAATTGTTGGCTGCTGACTTATTCAGACCAAAAGATCGAACAGTTGTTGGGTTGCATGTCAATCTGAGCAATGGAGACACCCAAGCGTCGCATAGGGTTTTTGGAGTCTCCCTGTCGAAACCAAACCGCGAGTGTGCCTGGAAGTTAGGCGAAAGCTCAAAGCGCCGCCAAAAACGGCTTATGCAACATGGCATGCGTCCAGTGCAAGAGGCGGAGCCAAAGTGAAAATTGGATCTTGCAGCAAAGACAACCTTCATGTGTTCGGGTAACCTTGGTTGGTGGCTCGGATTGGTGGTTGGCAATCCAAACCACCAATTGGAGGGAAGCTGATGTGTTGTAGTGTGTTTAGCTATCGGACTCAACGTCTACCTACGTAAGCCAAATCGTCGCAACCCTGGAATTGGCCAGGATGAAAGGAAGCCCTCATCTTCATGGCTCTTTGGGAAACCTTAGCCCCTCGGATCTTTTGAAAACAAATGACTCGTCCATCAAACCTACAACATGTTAGACCTTTTGCTCAGGGGGAAGAACAACCCACATCATTTGCAGGGATCGAGCTGGGCTGGACACTCCCGCGATTCGCTGAAAGAGATACGCCTAGGTCCAACGACCTGCTGGCGACCAGATCCATGTCGAACCTCTTGAAAGAGGACAGGTGGCAAGCGAGTCCCCGAGCGCGTCCAGAGACATTCATGTTGCGGGCGATTCCTGGTTCCCTGGTGGTTCAATCAACTATTGGGGCCATCTATGTTCCCAAAAAGGACACCTATGCATGCTTCCCTAAGCTGAAAGCCATGGTTCTGTCTTCACGAGAGGCCGCTGCATTGCTTTGGAGACTTCGCCGGGAGGGAGCTAGACTCTGCAGTTTCGGTTTCTCTTGCGGGGTGCTCATGCGCAGGGTGCTATTATGCTGGCCCGGGCTGCTGCTCATTGTGTGACTGGGAGCTGCTAGTGTTGACCCCATATTTTCATCAACCCCAGTTTATTCATGGGGAGGGTGTTTGCCCCTCCAAAAGTGGCGTGATTCCTGACTAAACTCAGGGACAACCCTAGTAAACTGGGGTGGGTACAACATGACTCTACAAATGAAAGCTGGTTTTCCAGCGTGCTCTTTCAGGTCGCTGTTGCTGTTTGAGGCAGAGCAGGGTGTTGGCGCAGCCGAGTCTTAGCACTTAGGGCCTTTTGTTTTTGTTGTCTTCTCGAGCCAAT